TCTTCGGCGAGATATAAGGGAATCCCAGGACAATACTCGTAGGATTAGGTCAGAGATGTCAAGAGACACTAGAAATGAAATTCGTGAGAATATTCAACGACGGCAAAACATTTTACGACTTCGAACCAATCAGGATAAAGATTTTGATGAGCAATCAAGATTAGATAGGAGAATTGAACGTGCTACAACTTCGGATAAAGGACAACATCTATCTGCCAGTAGAAGATCAGAACGTTCTGTAGGGTCTCGTGTTTCTCCTCTAGATAGAAGAATGGCAGAGTCGAATATTCGGCGTGATATTAGAGAATCAGAGAAGGACAATACTCGTAGGCTGAGCTCAGAGATTTTAAGAGACTCTAAAAATGAAATACGTGAGAATATTCCACCGCGCCAAAACACGTTAAAACGACATAGCTCAAGTGCACGCCAAGAACGCAAGGAAATAACTCGAGGGTCGGGAATAGCTATTATTCATCCTAAAGATTCTGATGAGCGAACAAGAATTGACAGAAGGATCGAACGTGCTGCATCATTTGATAATAGACAATCGTCTGATATTAGAAGGTCAAAACGTTTTGTTGAATCTCGCATATCTTCTCTTGATAGAAGAATGCCAAAATCGAATCTTCGGCGAAATATAAGAGAAGCTGAGGACAATTCTCGTAGGATTAGGTCAGATATATCAAGAGACTCTAGAAATGAAATTGTTGAGAATACTGATCGACGGCACAACATTTTACGACACAGCTCTTCTGTACTTCTGGAACGTAGAGAAATGGTTCAGCGATCGGGAATTCGAACCAATCAGGATAAAGATTTTGATGAGCAATCAAGATTAGATAGGAGAGTTGAACGTGTTACACCTTTGAATAAAGGACAACGCCTATCTGACAGTAGAAGGTCAGAACGTTCTGTAGAGTCTCGTGTATATCCTCTTGATAGAAGAATGCCAGAATCAAACATTCGGCGTGATATTAGAGAATCAGAGAAGGACAATTCTCGAAGGATTAAGTCTGACATGTTACGAGACTCCAGAAGCGAAATTTTTGAAAATACTGAACGGCGACAAACCATTTTACGACACAGCTCTCCTGTACTACTTCAGGAACGCAGAGAGATGATTCAGCGATCGGGAATTACAACCAATCAGGCTAAATATTTCGATGAGCAATCTAGATTGAGTAGGAGGATTGAACGTGCTATACCTCTGGTTAAAGGGCAACCCTTATCTGACAGTAGAAGGTCAGAACGTTCTGTAGACTCTCGTGTATCTCCTCTAGGTAGAAGAATGCCAGAGTCGAATATTCGGCGTGATGTTAGAGAATCAGAGGACAATACTCGTAGGATGAGATCAGAGATGACAAGAGACTCTAGAAATGAAATACGTGAGAATATTCCACAGCGCCAAAACACGCTAAAACGACGTAACTCAAGTGGACGCCAAGAACGTAAAGAAATAAATCGACGGTCGGGAATAGATATTATTCATTCTAATGATTTTGATGAGCAATCAATATTGGACAGAAGGATCGAACGTGCTGCATCATTTGATAAAAGACAATGGTCTGATATTAGAAGATCAAAACGTTCTGATGAATCTCGTGTATCTTCTCATGACAGAAGAATGCCAGAATCGAATCTGCGGCGAGATATAAGAGAATCCGATGTCAATACTCGTAGGGTGAGATCAGAAATGTCAAGAGACTCTAGAAATGAAATACGTGAGAATATTGAACGGCGACAAAATATTTTACGACACTGCTCTCCTGTACTTCTGGAACGCAGAGAAATGATTCAGCGATCAAAAATTACAACCAATCAGGCTAAATATTTTGATGAGCAATCAAGTTTGGATAGGAGGATTGAACGTGCTACACCTTTGGATAAAGGACAACGATTATCTGATAGTAGAAGCTCTGAACGTTCTACAGAATATCGTGTATCTGCTCTAAATAGAAGAATGCCTGAATCGAATATTCGGCGTGATATTCGAGAATACGACGTCAATACGCGTAGGATTAGGTCTGACATGTCAAGAGACTCTAGAAATGAAATACGTGAGAACATTCCACCGCGCCAAAACACGCTAAAACGACATAGGTCAAGTGCACGCCAAGAACGCAAGGAAACAACTCGACGGTCGGAAATAGATATTATTCATCCTAAAGATTTTGATGAGCAATCAAGAATTGACAGAAGGATCGAACGTGCTGCATCATTTGATAATAGACAATCGTCTGATATTAGAAGGTCAAAACGTTCTGTTGAATCTCGTGAATCTGCTCTAGTTAGAAGAATGACAGAGTCGAATATTCGACGTAATATTAGAGAATCCGAGGACAATTACTCGTAGGATTAGGTTCAGAGATGTCTAGAGACTCTAGAAATGAAATTCTTGAGAATACTGATCGGACGACAAAACATTTTACGACACAGCTCTTCTGTACTTCTGGAAACGTAGAGAAATGATTCAACGATCAGCAACTCCGACTATTTTGGATAATCATTTTGAGGAACTATCAAGAATGGACAGAAGAATTGAACGTGCTACACCTTTGAATAAAGGACAACGCCTATCAGACAGTAGAAGGTCAGAACGTTCTGTAGAGTCTCGTGTATCTGTATCTGCTCTAGATAGAAGAATGACAGAGTCGAATATTCGACGTAATATTAGAGAATCAGAGAAGGATAATACTCGTAGGATGAGATCAGAGATGTCTGGAGCCTCTAGAAATGAAATACGTGAGAATATTGAACGGCGCCAAAATATTTTACGACACAGCTCTCCTGTACTTCTGGAACACAGACAAATGATTCAACGATCAGCAACTCCGACTATTCTGGGTAATCATTTAGAGGAACTATCAAGAATGGACAGAAGGATTGAACGTTCTTCGGCTTTGGATAAAGGACAGGACCTGTCTGATAGTAGAATGTCAGAACGTTCAGTTTATTCTCGTGTATCCTCTTTTAATAGAAGAATGCCACAAGCGAATCTTCGGCGAGATACAAAGGAATCCCAGGACAATACTCGTAGGATTAGGTCAGAGATGTCAAGAGACTCAAGAAATGAAATTCGTGAGAATATTCAACGACGGCAAAACATTTTACGACGCAGCTCACATATACTTCTGGAGCGCAAGGAAATGACTCAACGATCAGCAATTCTAACCATTCAGGCTAAGAATTTTGATGAGCAATCAAGAATGGATAGGAGGGATTGAACGTGTTATACCTCTGGCTAAAGGACAACGCCTTTCTGATAGTAGAAGGTCAGAACGTTCTGTTGAGTTTCGTTCATTTTCTCTGGACAGAAGAATGCCAGAGTCGAATCTTCGGCGAGATGCTGCAATAAATGAAAATGACAGAAGTTCTAAAGTGGGGTCAGAGTTCTCAAGAGAAACTAGAAACGCTCTTCGTGGTAATGTATCACCCCGTCAAAACGCTTTACTACGGCAGAGATCACGTGCTCGTCTGGAACCCAGCAAAACGACTCAACGATCGGTAGTTGCACTCGTTCAGCATATTAATTTTGAGAGACAACCTATAATGGATAGGAGACATGGACCTGTCGTGTCAACTGACAAAGAACAACAGTTGTCTCACATTGAAAAGTCAGGAGCTGTTATGGAGTCTCGTGCCCTTTTCCTTAACAGAAGGATGACAGGATCTACTTTACGCCAATCTATTGTTAGACACAAAAAGTATAATTCTCATGAAGGATTATTTCCTCGTAGACTAAGAACAGAACCATCACTAGTCTCGTTTGCGAGAGGAATCATTACACCTGTCCAGCGACGTGTATCCTATGATTCACAAAGTAGTCAGAAAACTCATTCCGGTCAAAAACCACACAACTCTCATAGGGATTCCAAACCTGAACTCAATCCCGGTAATGAACCCGTTATTTCCCCGCATTACGACAAATCAAAAGTATACAATGCACAAAAGAGTGCCGAATCCTTCTCCTCCTGGATTGGTGAAATGATTTCCACTATTATAAAGGCTGTGATCGGCAATGCCATTGAAGAAAATGTTCTCAAGCATCCTATGGATTCAGGTGTTATTCGAATGAGCAACTATCTGCCTGGATTCACTCACGAGCGTCAAATCTCTAAGGTATGTATCACGATTAATAGTTAAGTATCATAAATATTTCTCTAAAATTAATGATCTAAACACTGTTTTATTTTCCACAGCTACTACCGGATTCTGAGTTGAGCAATGATAAAGGGTAAGTTATTTGTCACAGCTCTTAGAAATAATGCTTTTTTCATATATTTTTTTTCTATTTAGTTAGTATGATTCGATATTTATCAATTAATTGATTATTTAATATATTTCTATATAATTATCAATTACCATAGTTAAAGTTGGATTAAGGATTTACCATTTAATAATGTTTTATATATTTGTTTCAGACATTTACTGCAGGACTTCGTCTTCAGCTCAGTTATTGCGGGTTATTTCATTTCTTCTTTTCATCTCAAGATAAGAGACTATCGAAATATCATATGTATTTTTTAAAACTATTTTTGTATGTTTCATTTTGGCTTTGATAATTATAATTGTATCACTACATGTAGCAAAAGGTTATTGTTTACGTATTATCATTAAATAATATGTTAATTGGAAAAGGAAAAAAATAGTTGTAACCTACTATTGTAAAAAAATAATAATGTTAGTTATTACGATAACCACAATATCACAGCTATATTATAGCATACAACCTTATTCATGTAGAATATTTAAAAATATATATTGCATAAAGTGAAATCAGAGATTACATTATTCCAAATCCATTCAACCTTTCCTGCCATTAATCTCACTTTAAAAATCTTAGAAATTGAAGTTACCTAAATGCTTTTGTAACAGAAAACAATATTATGAAACTAATATTGTGCATTTATGTGTGGTGGTAACAACTCTGTAAAAAAAAAACTGAAATGAAGGGAAAAGAAGGCCAGATGGAGAATATCTTATCATCTGTTAATTCATAAGTTTTTAATTAATTAACCTTCCGCAGTGTGAAATAAACGTCTTGAGTTTTGGATTATATTGAATGATCAACAGTAGTTTTTATAGTCCAAAATAAATATGGGCATGTCAGTTAGATCGCATACTTCGATAATTATTAGAAGAGTACTTTTTCTTTTCATAGTTGAAATTTCATTGCTGTTTCAAACCTTTTTAAATTGCGAAGAAGAGGCGATGTTTACTAAAAAAAAATTATTTTTTTTTAAAAAGGTATAATTTTGAAAGAGTTTAACTTTCGGATAATTGTCAAGAATGAAGGCCTGAAGGAGGAAATAACAGCTAAGGATTCCTCCAATTCTTCACCAGGACGTTGTATCTTTTAAACGGTGGTAGGTGACACAAATGGATTTTAGAACTCTTACGACACGAATATTTATTTATTAAATATAATTTAATACTAACTAACCATTAATATTTAAGAGTCCTCGCATTAAAAAATATTGCTTTTAATCACTTTGGAACAAACATCAAATAAAAGTAGTTTTCAACAAGACTTACTAATACAATATAGGTTTATTAATAAATTATTTTTTTACATATTAAAATAATTCATATTAAAAAAACAAACAAAAAGTTTGACAAAACGTTATTTTAACCAAAATTGGAGCCTCTATCCAGGAAACCAGTCAAGGTTCTCTGAGGGAGTTACCTCATGCGTTTGTAGTTACTATCCATTTCCTTCAACCGTTATATATTTTTACTTTCATTTACCTCTATATGAAATATATAGTAAGGGACAGTATTGCGATTGTGAAAATTTTCGAATCTTATTTTTTAACGGAAATACATGTTTTAAGTTCTCCTGAGTCGAATAACCTAGTTACACATAATGGTCTGTGTGCCTGTATGTGACCAGTCTAGCTCAAATACGAAAAGTATGAAAATGAAATTGCATATTTAAGGTTTGATTATACGTGAGATGTTACAGCAACTTTTTCCTCAAAATCGGCTAACCGGAAGTTGTAGCTGTCTTAATTTGTCTACAAATCTCAAAATCGGATTAACTAAAACGGAGATACAGAGCTACACCTGATTTCCTGGCTTAGAAAAAATATTTATAAATTTCTTTTACAGGGTTTTTATTTCAGTTTATTAAAAATGTACAAGTAATATATAGGGTGTGGGTCCCATAATTAAAGGGTAGTATTTAAACAGATGATAGTAGACTACAGAAATCTTATGGCTGATAGGCTACAGATAGCTTTATTGTCTGTCTGGTTTAGCTTAGAAAAGTAGGAAATTTAAATTTTATGTTTTATAAAAGTAAGTTATGCTTCGTCTTGAATATGAAGTGATAACTAGAAAATATTTAATTTAGGTAATTAATAATTGCTTTATAGTAAAAAAATGCCTTTTCAGTCTTGATAAATAATTGCTATATTTCAAATTTATCCAAATTTTCGTATCTTCAGAGATAATTTTATTTTACGTGTAATTTAAATTTTTATTCCTTTATAGCAGTGCACCCATTTGCACACTTAGTCAAAGAACACAATCTTCAATGTGTTCAATGTTGTTTTTTGACTAAGTGTGCAAATGAGTGCACTGCTATAAATGAATGAAAATTTAAATTACATGTAAAGATTATCCCTGAAGATGCGAAAATTTGGATAAATTTGAAATAAATCAATTATTTATCGAGACTGAAAAGGCCTTTTTCTACTAATACTTATTATAGTCTCTTTCCCAAGATAATCTTTTATTATTAGTATACGAGAAAATTAATTTGTCTTTCAAATTCAAGTAAAGGTTGAGTTTGACAAAACCATTTATTAAAGGAGACCTTTAAACGTCAGGGTGGGGAGGCAGAGGGAGCTAAACTACACTAATACAAAGTAATTAGAAAATAACAAAAAAAAAAAACAACAGATACCTCACTTTAAAAAAACTTCCTTGTTTAATAAGCTTTAAATCCATATCAATTTAGCTGAAATTTGTCGAATTTTACTTCTAGTTCATAAAAAAGAAGGTGTGATTTGATATTATATCTCCCCTAGGAACCTGTGTTTCACCGTAAAAAGTAATAATTATAAACTATTAAAAAAAAAATTATTTCGTTATATCATTTGACCTGGGATGTAGGTAGCTACTGTTAGTGCAAAAGATTGTAGGTGACAATTTTCTATATCAATTTTATTTGTTCTAAAGATGACATTTTGTAGACTGCATAGACAATAAACAGTCTGCTACTTTGGATAATAGTATAGGGAAATAACACTAATAAATCATAAAGAAATAATCAGTTTCTATGCTTTTTTGAAAAAAAAAAATAATTCATTTTTTACATACGACCTTTTGCAGTGACAATATAATAAATTAATACTGAAAATACACTGTTTATTTATAATGAAAAGATAATGAACCATTATTTTTTTTTACACAGATATTTATTAAGAAAATTGGTCTTTATTTTATTAAGTGACCAATCAAATATTCCTAATTCTAACTTTTAGGTTTTCATGAAAAAAAAACAAAAAAAAAACAAGCTGTTAATTTAAAATAGATATCAATTAGTTTAAATTGGTATTGAATTTGTATTGAATATTTAGCTTTCATTGTCAATAACATTACCAAATTAAAGTAATAGCCCATTATTGTAAATTAACATCTAAAAATAAATACATTAAATCCTATGATTGCTTGATTGATGTTGATGAAAATTTAAACACTAGGAACGAAAAAATGATTTGGTCATTAAATACAATAAAGAATCAATTCTCATAATACAGGTATTTCTAAAAATCAATGATTTATTATCACCTCAGATGGTAAATTTTTGAAGAAGCAGTATGCCAATAAAATATATTTTTTTTATAAATAGGTATATTCACTAATCATTTATTACAATACATCCCAGGTCATAGGATAAAAAGAAATTAAAACTTTGTAATACTTTATAATTGTTATTTTTGCATGACAACAAAGGTTTCCTGGGGTGATGTAATATTAAGTCTCACACAACTATAGATAAATCTTGACTTATCCAGTAACAAACCTCAGCTAAATTGATATCGACTTATACAAGAAAAACAAGGAAGTGAGATATCTATAGCCCAGTCGAAATATTGCAAACTATACTTGCATTTGAAAGAATTTTTTTCTACATAGTTTACAATGGATTAATTAATAGATAACTAATTTAAATGTTTTATTTATTTATTACTTCCTATTCAAGCGAAAACGTAACTTACTTTAACAAACACAAAATTTAATTTTTCTGGTTTTCAATGCATAATCAGAAAATAATTTATATAAACATTTTAGTTGCTCTCGGCCTCTATTATCACCTTTTTAAATACTTTACTTATGGTACATTTTGTGTAAAGAAAGAAAGATGGAACTATTTGTTGGCATGAAATGAAACAAGTTGTAATATAAAATAAAAGAATAGAGAAAATTCTTTTTTTTGTTCACAAAGAGGGATTGTGGTCATATTGTTAAATATTTAGCTAAATGTTTTGTTATTTCAAATTATACTGAAGGAAATACAAAACTCTCTAGAACTTAAATTAAATTCTTCATGAAAATATATTTATTACCAAGAAGAACAAAACTAATTTATTTCCATGATATCCTATTGCGATCATGAAATTTTAATTTTCTATTATATGAATAGTAAAATAAATAGATGCATAAACAGTGTTGCAACACCAAGGAAAGTCAAAGCTTAAATTTAATTTATACATATCATGCTAGCAGTCAATTGAGCTAATTTAGTCAAGTCTATTATTCAATAAATAATTATTTCAATAAATGAATTGGATATTAATTTCACTCCAAATTTAAATATTCTCTGCTAACAGGTAATGGCTTACTGTGACCTGTGAACTAAGTGGGGGAGGATCAATACTCTGCCATTTCATTCATTCCACTGGGATCTTGACATATGGCTACCAGCATGGACTGAAGATTATACATTATAAGAATATTGTAAATTTTGCTAGTCATCAAAATAAAACAGGTGAGTTACAGGTAACATTTTATAAACTTGATACATTATTTAAAAAATTTTATCGGAGAACTTGTGTACAAACTGTTGAAACTGATAAAAGTAGAGATAATATTTTTTTATTCTTGGAATTAATTCATTATATTGATTTTTGTATTTAAATAGCATAGAGATTGACTGTAATAAGCGATTGAAGGTTGCAAATTCTTTATTTAAACAAATAAAAGACATGAGAGAATAAAGGTGTTATGTCACAAATTTAAAATTTTAAAAAACTACCAAGTTTTTAAAATATAATTTTTAAAAAAAATGATCAATCTAATCCACTAAGAAATCATATGATTAACCAAGAATATTGGGTTGTTAATGATGCAAGGAGAAGATGAGCACACAATGCCTTTATTCGCAGAAAAAATCAAGTTTAAAAAATTTGTTACATCCAATGATGTATTTGGTTTTGAACTAATTTTGAAAATTTCTAAACTTTATTTAATAATTATTTTCTTGATATTTTTTGCAGCAATACAATGATTATCTTGAATAAATAAATACAATCTAATAAAAATGTTCCTAATTTTCTGAAATTTAATTATTAATTATTATAATTATTTAAAATTACTAAAATGAAATTAAAAAAAAAATAGTGTTCCTTTTAGTATTATTTGTAGCAGTTATCTCTTAATACAGTTATTGTATAAAAATAATAATAATAATAAAAAATAAAGAAAATCAGCTTATAAAACCGAAAATGCATTTAGGTAACAGAAGAGAATGAAACTCTCTTTAAAGAGAGTATGTTCGGTATTTTGCTTGAACTGCCTGATTTATGCCAGGACAAGTATCCGGTATTAACTAATTTTAGGTTAATAAATATTATTTTGGTTCTTAGACTGACCTATATTTGCATAGAGAAAACTTTCGGTCATAGTTAGGATTCCTGAAACCATCGTTCAGTATAGGAAATCAATAGGCCATCCTGATTTCTAGGCTAATAATACTACTTTTTGAAAGATTAGATGTGTAATAAATACTTCATTTTTTATTTGATTTTTAGGTTTGAAATGGGTCTAGTATTTCTCTTCATTTTGCTTCCTATATTTGCAAAAGCATTTGATTGGAAGCATCACAACAATAAAGAATTGCCAGAAATCTTAAACGAGGTGCACGCAAAATGTCCCGAAATTACAAGAGTTTATACTTTACCATTAAAATCAGTATTGGGTGTACCTCTATACGCCATAGAGTTTTCAACCACACCTGGTAAACATAGGATATGTAAGTTGTTGTTTTTCTTAAAAGAATGTTTTTGTAAAATTATTGTTAGTGATATATTGAATATTTAATAGTTGACCGTTGCATCATAAAGGAATGAGATGGTCCGGGGTGGCGGTCATAAATAGGCTAAATAGTGGCAAAACTATTTTTATTAAAAGGCAATGTTTCGAGCCGACTTTGCAGGTCTTCTTCAGGGAAGTTTGTTCAGCTAGGAGTTTCACTTAGAACTCTTGTGTTTATTTTAATTTATAATATTTTATAGTTTATTTCTATAAAACAGTTCTATAAACACAGTTCTAAGTGAAACTCCTAGCTGAACACACCTCCCTGAAGAACACCTGCAAAGTCAGGTCGAAACATTGGCTTTTAATAAAAATAGTTTTACCACTATTTAGCCTATTTATTACCGCCACCTCTGAGCATCTCCTTCCTTTGTTGGTGATATGTTTCCCCTTAAATACTGAGATTTTACAATCATAATCATTTTCCTATTATTTTGGCCTTTTTATGACAGATTAACATCTGTCATGGATTTATGGAGGAAAAAAGTATATTTATAGAATAAAATTGTTAACAGTAATAAATATGTTCATAACTAAATAAAATTAGTTGTTATATATATAGTTTATGTTCAATCTCGTTCTAATACAAAACTTGTGATTGTAAAAACTTTTGATAAGGTATAAAAACTTATTAATTGGTTTATTTAGGTATATGGAAGACATAAATATGAGCAATAATGTGTATAATATTTTATGGCTGTGACTAAATTGCTAAAATATAAAATAATAAAATAATTTTTAGACTTTTAGAATTTTAGACCAACTAATTTACTAAAATAAAAAATAAGAAAATAATTTTCAAACTATATCACTTACAAATTTTTATAAGTGTACAAATGTTCTATACAAAGGATGGAAATAAACTATCTGGAAAACCAGAAATGAACGAATTTTGTGTTAGGCAAGTTTTATCACAAAAATAGCCTCTGAGATTCGGAATTCTCGAAATTACTGCAGTAAATGATTTCATTCTATTATAAATTCTATTTATATATTTTTTATTTTATGTAAATATGTTCTTTCTTAAAAAGATTACTGAGTTTTTTTGCAGATTTTTCATGAATAGAATAGTTAACAAGAGACTGGTGATTTTTTAATGATTAAAGTTCAAAAAACTAAACTAAACATTAATATCCTCTGGATATTTTTTCCTGATCCAAAAATTACAATTAAGGAGTGAGGGGTTGGTCCCGACCCAATGTTTATGTTTGTGAGGTCAGCGCCTACGTTTAAAGAGGAGGGCTTAACAGCAAATAACCTTATATTTTGTAAATCAAACTAACCCTGTGACATCATATTCAATTTAGTTTCATTTAAAACATTTATTATTTTGTATTATAGTGGTGCCTGAGTTTAAATACATAGCGAATATGCACGGGAATGAAGTTTTGGGAAGAGAATTAATGTTAAAACTTGCTGATTATCTTTGTGATAAATATAATGAAGGAGATGAAAATATTAAAAAACTCATCTCCATCACCAGGATTCATATACTGCCTTCAATGAACCCTGATGGATGGCAGCGTGCGACAGAGACAGTAAGTTTGCAGTAAAAATAATATTAGGCTAATTTATTCTAAACAGAAATGTGGATCATCGATAGGAAACAACTGTTGGGTCTAGGTTCAATAATAATTATATAAATCATGTATTGATTGTGAAACTAGACTCTTCTTGGATTACACTTCAGCCTCAATTAAGGGAGAGACCTTTAATCCTTTAAAGCTGAAAAAATCATCTTTTCTCTTCCCTCTTGTGCCATTTATCGTGTCGAGGGCCCTCAATCCAACAGAGCCAATCTGCCGACTCCCAACACAATATCTTCTTTTGAGCAAAAAATTTTCCTTTATCTGCTTCCATTCTCTATACATAATCCTCTTAGGGATTTTTCTGGCATCCTCGGGTCCTGTTCCTCATCCAAATGACAGACATGCCCACACCACTCGAGCTCTTGCTTTTCAGTTCAGACACTTGCAGCTGAACTCTAATATTATGATTTTACAGTCAACTTGTTCTCTCGTTTTATCAACTATTCTACATGAGTATTTCATTTCTGCTCCAGCGATCAAAGTTGATGTGCTTTTCAAGCATAAGCTAGCTTCCACTTCATCCTTCATCCAATGTAAGCACTGAGAGGTAAATTTCCTTGTAAATATGAAACTTTGTTGAACGTTGTTGCTTTTGACAGAATTAATCTTCATTACCTCCTGATGGAGCTCTTCTTTTTATTCCACAAGAGCTTGCTGCTTCTTTTATTTATGGTCTATTAGAAAAACAATGTCATCAGTTTAAAGGAGGATCATGACAAGAACAGGGCACATGCTCTGCCGGCCAATGAATGTTTATATCCTTTTTCAACAGAAAAAAATGAAAACAACATCTTTTGAATTAAATGTTGATAAATTTAGTGTTGCACCCTTATTCATTAGTGCATAATCCAATTCCCTCTTAACATATTTCATATTTTATTTTTTACATAAATTAGGCCAATATTCACCAAAATTTTATTTATACCCCGTTAATTACGACGTTTCGATCATACTAAGGGCCATTTTCAAGTCTTAACGAGTCCTCCGTTATATATTCATTGTTGATGTCGCATTAATTTGTTCAGTGAACATTAATTTGTCCTGCTATTTAGGGGTTTCGCCTATGTCATTTCTTCAGTCACCTCAGAAATGACGTAGGCGAAACCCTAAATAGCAGGACAATTTAATGTTCACTGAACAAATTAATGCGACATCAATAATGAATATATAACGGAGGACTCATTAAGACTTGAAAATGGCCCTTAGTATGGTCGAAACGTCGTAATTAATAGCTTATAAATAAAATGTTGGTGAATATTGGCCTAATTTATGTAAAAAATAAAACCTCAAGACACCAATTTTAGGAAAAATGAACAGAAGAAATATTTCATATTAATTATTTTCACTGAAATGATTAATTAATATTGAATTTAAATATTACGAATGATGTTTCTTTTATATGACAAAAAAAAGAAGAAAGAAAATGATTAATAAACATATTATGAATAAATATTTCTTTTATATGACAAAAAAAAAAAAAAGAAAGAAAAAGAAATGACCAGAAGTACTAGTAAATAAATAATTTATTCATAGTCTTAATTAGCATAGGCTGCATAAAACAAATTAAAAATAATATTCAAAGAAGAAATAAAAAAACAGCCGTGTTAGAAAAAAATGTTTGTCTAAAAATTTGAGTTTTTATAACTTAAGGGTTTTGGCTGTAATCCAATCTTATAAGATTTCAAAAAGGTTCCTTAATCCTCAATGCAATTTTAGGTAAAGTTGAATATCAGATTGTCATTAAGTATTTTTTGAATATTATGAATGGGAATAAATAATGTCTCTTATTAAAAATGTGAACAGTATAAAGTAACGTCTCTCTATAATTAAATAAATTATAAGACTGGTGACTTCATAAAGATTTAGAAATAACCAAATATTTAATACTCGAAAGGTCGGCTTGTCTTAGAGTCACATGGAAGGTCGCTATGGATATGTCAAATCAGCTTCACTAAATCAATTTATTGATCAAAAATACCAACAAATTTCTCATTGTATTGAAAGAAAAAGATATAAGATGAGATTTTTAATATATTTATTGAGTACAAACTCAGTCTCATAATCTAAAAAAATATATTAAAATTCAATACGAAAAATACATTGAAAAAATTAGGAACATGAATATTAAATTCTGTATACCATTAAATACAACACAAAAAAATCACTGAACACTGGGAACAATTAAAATGGATTAAGAAATAATTTATACAAAAACCAAGATGATTTATAACTACATTAGGAACAAAAAAATTTAAAAAGTCTGTTCATCATTAAAAATTAATGCAAAAATCATTTCACACTAAGCAGAATTAATTCAGATTTAATTGTCAACCATATCTACACCAATTTTGTGGTGGTTATAATATATAATTTCAGTTGTTTTTTTAAAATCCTGTTGATATGTCAATAGTGCATCTAATCTAAGTGCATGCTAGAATAACTTTTTTTTTGTTGTTCTTATTATGTGAGACATAAGATACCATCGTTTCATCTTTTGGGAATGTAAAATTGCTTGAAAAGTTTTCTGGATTTTCAATTTTTGGAATTTGCCACTTATTCTTTCCTTTTCGGCGTTCCTACATATGAAAGTCGATATTTTTCAGATAATTCTCAGCAGGACAACATCTGAGAATCAATTATCTGCGGTAACATTTCAACAAGTGCTAGGTCTTACATCTTCATCATCACTGTTGTCCAATAATAGTTGGATGAATTAGTGAAACATCCTCAGTGTTATTCAACTTGAATGTTTTTTTTTTGACACTATTTCGTCTCTAAAATACCTAATGGAGAAATCAATCAGACAAAGAAGTTAATTTGGATTGAAACTTAAGAGAAAGTGAGAAAAAAGAAAGCAAAATGTGTAGGAAAAATAAATAAAACATAAAAGGTCGCATTGGATCTGAGAGATTCAATGCCTATATATTTTACAAACAAATAAACTGACAATAAAAATTATTGCACAAAAATAATAAAAAAACACTATATATAATATTAAAAGGAAACAAAAATTAAAGGGATCTCACAGATCTAACCTAAGTTATACTATAATAATTGAATGTAACACAGGTCACTCCAATACTAGACGGTAAGATTCCAAGAGCCAAGAGAATACCAGGAGGAAGAGTCCACTACTCCCATCATGTATATAACCACATCAAAAAGACCGCTGAGTGGATCTCTTAGATCCGGTGCGATCTTTCTAGTGTTAAACCTTGTTGTTAATAATAACAATGTATAATGTATAATAATAACAATGTATAATGTATTATAATAACAATGTATTTCTCTTTAAAGGGTGGAAAAGATTACTTAATTGGAAGAAACAATAACAACAGTGTTGATTTGAACAGAAATTTTCCAAATCTCAACAGGATAATGTTTAGCAATGAAGAATCACATATTGCTCATAACAATCACCTCTTGTCAATGGTAGACAGACTCACACAGCCGGTTTGTAATAAACATGATCCTTTATTATACTTTATATCCTAATTATTGTTGTTTTGTAATGTTATGTTTATTTAATAGATCCAACCCGAAACTAAGGCAGTGATCATGTGGATTATGGCTATTCCATTTGTTCTCTCGGCAAATTTTCATGGAGGGGACTTGGTGGCTAACTATCCGTATGATGAAAGTCGTTCTGGGGCCATGACAGAATATACACAGAGTCCAGATGACCACACGTTTAGGTAAGATAGTGATACTTGCTATAGCGGATTTTTGTGTAACTCCACACTCCATCAAATACCCGTACTGCCCTTAAGACAGGGGAGGGTGGTAAATAAAATAAAATAATTAAATAGGTAAAGCAGTGGTTAGAAAACAATGAATTATTGGAATTAATAAAATAAATAAGTTTAAGTTTTTTTTTTTAGTTGAATTTTAACTGCTCAATAATCTATAAAAGTCAGAAATTACATATCCTCTGCTTTATTTAGATATTTTAGTTTATATAAACAAAATATCTCAATTAATTAATCTTTGCAGACATTTGGCTCAAGTATATTCCACTAATCATGTAGACATGTCAGATCCTAATCGGAAAGGTTGCGGTTATGACGGATATAATTTTGGAAAACAGGGCGGAATTACAAATGGTGCGGCTTGGTATAGTGTTGATGGAGGAATGCAAGATTTTAATTACCTATCTTCGAATGATTTTGAAATAACTGTAGAATTGGGATGTAAGAAATATCCAGAAGCTGAATCATTACCAGAGGAATGGAACAGAAATAAAGATGCTCTGTTGAACTACATTTGGGAGGTGACTTAATTTACTTAATAAAGTACTATTAAAACCGGTTTTTAACTGATTTTTTTTTTCATTTTATCTTTATTTACAGCCCTGGTTTAAGATTAATAATATATGTTTTTTAAATTCTTACTAAGTAGTTAATTGTCATGTTTCTCATTCTCTAGACATATTTTTAGTATTTATTTTTACTTAAAATTGAATTTTATTAAAAAAAAAAAAAAAAAAAAATATTAAGGCAACATCCAATCTTTACAGGCAGTTAAAAGTTTAAATCTACATCAATATTATTTATTATTATCATACAACTTGGTGATGAGTCTTGGCCTCCTTCAACAGCTTCCTTCAGTCATCTCTGTTCTGTGCGGCCATCACCTGACTCCCAGGACATCCCTTGAATCTCTTGCCACACCGTCTGACCATCTTAGTTTTGGTCTCCCTCTTTTCCTTGTGCCATAGAGTGGTTCCGTCAGAATCATCTTAGGGATTGCTTCATTCTCCATCCTCCCCAAATGGACAGCCCATCTCAATCTTCCAAGCTTCATCCTTAGAACGACATCTTGCTCATTAAAAGTTGAGTAAATATCGAAATTTGTCCGTCTTCTTCAATTTACATCAATCTGTACTCCTCCAAATATTATTCGAAGAATTTTTCTCTCAAAGATTAGGAGGTCTTGCTCAATTCTCAGATGACCACACAGATAGTGATAACATCAATATTAAAAATGTTAAATCAAATTGAGGATTGAATGTATTAGTTTAAGTGTTCTATCTTGGAACTGAAAGAATTATCATAATAAATATAAATAAAAAATATTCTAAATAAAATAAAAAAATTTAATAATGGTTACTTAAATTTCAGATGGCTATCAAGTATTTTTATAATTGGTATACAATCGTTTTACAAAATGAAATTTAAATTATTATGTTTCTTTTTAGAAATAATATTATTTTATTTATAACTAAATAATGTTGCAATCTATATTTTTATTATTTTTCAGGCACATATTGGTGTAAAAGGTGTTGTTACTAATGGAATTTCTGGAGAGCCTCTTTCTAACACCATTATTCATGTAAAAAACATAACCGACAGCAATCCGGTAGATATCATGCATGATGTAACTTCAGGTAATATAATTTTCTTTAGCAGAATTTTTTATATGTCATGCACAGATAGATCTTGCCTATATCAGCTTAGATACATATAAAATAAAATGTCAGCTATAGCCAGGATGGTTATAATATTTAAACTATGGTTTAAAATTTGGTGCCTCGGTTCATATTTTAGTCCTTAAAAAATTAGTAACAGATATTTGTCAGAGGAAAGAATAAGTCAGGTGATTGGATCAGCTCTATATAATAAAAAAAAAAACACCTGTACCACTACAATCCATGAAGGGTCTTGAGTTTAGTATATTTAGGAAAAGTACTGTTACAAGGCCAACGGTTGTGCAGGAAGGAAATCGGGCGAGGGTGTTCCCCAGGAGGGGGACCCCAGGGTCGCCCACGGCCAATGAAGCGGAATAAATAGTTTTTTTGCCATGAGCTGGGATTCGAACCTAGGATCTTGAGCATTGAAAGCTTACTTGAGCCCTAGCAATATAAAGTAGAGAATTTGGTATATCTACTAGTACCTACATGAACAAGTGGTATATCACTACAACTTTATTTTTGAGTTAAATTAGAAAGTAACTTATAATTTTGTTTATTATTTTGACTATTTAATTAAACTATATTTTTGTTTATCTATCTCTGAGGCTCCTTAGGCCACATTTTTGTCTTTCTGTATTATTCTAAAGGGACTCGTCCCAGAATAAATAAAGCATTATTATTAGATAGATAGATAGATAGAAAGTAAACTTTATTCTGGGACAAGGTCCCTTATGAATAACAGATATGAACAAAAAAATTAAAACTACATCTGGCCAAAAATTACATTAATAAATATTAAAGAATATATACAGTATCTTCAGTGAAATTAAATTAAAACAAGTAAAAATAAAATAAAATTTTGAGATTATATCTACTAGTGCCTTTCCCCCTTGGTCTTCCTTGGAAAGTTTTATTATAATGTAGCAGAATACCAGAAGATGGTAAAATTAAACAAAACAGTATATAATTGTATAAAATTTATTGATATTTTAGGCCAATTTCTATAGGATTTCCACAATATTGATAAAAATGAGAGGCCAAAAAAGCAATAGAGTGTAAAACCAAGTGAAAGATGAAAAAGGAAATTGTCCTTTGTCTTCCATCATAAACTGACTCTATAACAGACTATTTCTCTTGCCAACTCCTCATTTTTATTTACTGAGGTATACAAAATTGGCTGAATTATCAGCGTACAGTTTGACACTATTTTTATTTATATTAATTTATTAAAATCATGACCATCTAAGACAACTACGTTACTAAATCATACATAATTTTATTATAATGATGTTAAAAATAAATTAAATCAACGTATTCTACACATTTTTCTAAAAAATCTGTTCTATTTTTTTTTTTTTTTTTTTAGTTCATGGTGGTGATTATTTCCGTCTACTAACACCAGGACAGTATGAAGTAACAGCCTTCCAAAGTGGATTTCTTCCAGAAACAAAAGTTGTGAATGTCGAAAACAGACCTTTCCAAGAAGCTAAAAGGATTGATTTCAAGCTTTTACCGAACCCTATGGTAAAATATATAAACAGTTATAGTAAATAATAATGATACTGTAAGGAAAATGCAACAAAGAATCAGATAATTATTTAAATGCTAAGTCTGATCAAAACAGATTTCTTCGTTACATATACGCATTACGCAAACATTTTCTTCTATCATGCAAGTAGAGATACACTGACTTAGCAATTGATTAAGACATTTCTATGAAACAAAATCAAAATTGTCACAGCTATATGAACTTTATCTAAACAAAACATTGGTTTAATGAGACAATATAGTAATTTTTGCTAACGACAGAACTTGTGATGTTCTAAATATCCTGCAATAGGATGGGTAATAATGAAGTTGTTGATAACTTAAAAGTATAACATAAATAAAGCTTTAGGCTGGGAAGGTTATTTCTCACTAAAATTACATATTTATATTTTATTGATGGATTCTTAGGTGTCTAATGTATTAAAGACATAAGCATCGGAAGCAAAACCCACTATTCCCATCAGACTTTCCAATAAAAAACAAACAAACAAAAAAAATTAAAAAGTAGCATATAATACTTCCCGATTGGTTAATGCCATTATTTTAAAGTAGATTTGATTCAGATCAATGGATAGAAGTTATTTTTAACTTTAAAATACAAAAAATTAAATTAGCGGGTTTTGATTCTAAAAGTCTCATAGGATGAATTATCAAAGAAACCTAAATATAAACTCTCGACTATGTAAAATTAGAGTGGGAAATTAGGGATTTTTTTCCAGTTTATTAAAACAAAAGAGTTAAACATCAGGAAAAGTGTGATCTATGCAAAGTAAAATTACTTTCATGAGTACAGATTAATATTAGTGTGATATTACGTAATATTTGTTAATCCTTATTGTTTTGTGGGGCACACTTGATTCTATCTTCAAGTTACATATATAAAATTAAATAAATTCTGAAAACAAAAATATTCCAATGTATCAAGTTTAATTAAAGTTAATATTGACATTCCCTACAAACAATTTCTATACAAAATAATTTAATCAATTTTTTTTCATATATCCAATGAACTCATAAATATTATTTTAGTTAACAAGCCACCACTTTTTGATTTACACCAATTTAGTTTTGATTATTAGTATTACATGTACTGTGTTTTTATTTATTTCAATTGTAAATAAACTAATTTAGTTTTGATTATTATTATTACATGTACTGTTTTTTTATTTATTCCAGTATGAAAACCTAGACACAAAAAGTTTTCAAAGTCAAGATTACAACACGTACCAAGACGAAGAAGATAAACATGAAATGCAAAATTTAATCATTTACAACCGACTAGCTAATCGACCTGAACCAGTTTTATCGCCCTCCTCTTATTCATAATGTGATACTTGTAAGTCTGTAAAAGAAAAAAAAATAGTGGAAATATAAACCCATTAATGTCAGCAGTTTCAAAAATGACATAAAAGCAAAAATAATAGATATTTATTAAAACTCTTATTTCTTAGGCAGGCCATAAATTCTCTTGACTATGACTAGTTTTATCCAAGAATATCAACTTACATATTTTAAATCTTTTTAAATTTATTTTAAGATATGATCTCATACACAAAATTTAACTGACTTCATCATTTTGAATTTTTATCGAGTATAGTGGAATCTCTATTATCAGGATTAAATTAACGGACAATCCAATAGTCCACATTGAGATTCTTCACATCTCATTTCTTTTTTTTAAGGTAAAAAAAAATTAACGATTAGGTTACATTTTGCCTTAAAAAAACTTCAGAAGCTCAGTCTAAAAATTGGCTTCATTCATATAACCATCAAAATAAGATTGAACGTTATTATGATTTCTTCCAATAAACATAAAAATAGCAGATCTTCATTGATCATCAATCTTATAATAGATGAATGACATAAATAACAAAGATTCATTTATAACGTTAGAAATTAATAAGAGGAGCATTAGAAGCAACAAAATTTCACTAAATTATTTTAAGCTGATGAATGTTGATAATGCAACAATAATCACTGTATAGCAAATGAGGGCAGATATAAGAAAGAAAAAAAAGGCTAATTATTCGTTTAAATAAATACATATGTATGGTGTGATTGATATGATATGATAATGTTTTTAGTACATTTATGCTTAATCAACTTATTGAACAAAATAATATCTAGGATCATCTAGGATTTTTAATGTCCGATGACCCATCCTCCCAGTTTGTTGACGGATAATGGAGGTTCCATTGTAAATTTAACAATTGTTTTAACATGATAGATAAATAAAAATCTGTTTCTACCATCAAGATTTCTGTTATGATAGAAAAATTAACAAAATGATAGTTGGAAAACAGTATACTTAGGTTGAATCTTTGCATTAAGAAAAGAATATTATGTGTAACCACAAAAAGAAAAGGTTTATTTTTACATAATTATATTTTTATTTTATTTTTCATTGATAATGAAAGCTATCTCAAATAATCATTAAAGAGATATTTAAAATTATTTTTTTACACTTAAAAAACAATAAAGCTTAAATGAACAATATAGAGAAAACCAGGGTTTGAAATTGATAATTAAAAAAATCAAAATCAAATGATTTTTATTTTTGATCAAGAGTGATAAATATTATATCCTGATCATTATTTATGAATAAAAAATTTTACATTTAACAATAATAATAATTCTTGAGTAATACTTTTTTAAATTAGAAATATAATTTTTTTTAATCTCTATAATATATTTTGAGTGTAGAATTACATTAGAAATTTATGTGCATATGTATATATATAAAATTAATTTAAATATTAAAATGTATATATATATATATATATATATATATATATATATATATATATATATATATATATATATATATACACATTTTAATATTTAAATTAATTTGTGTGTAAAAGATGATTTTTATTTTCTGATATAATTTTTTTTTAATAATAATTTAATCATTATTATTTATGTAAAACCATATCACTCAGTGAGTGATCATTGTTTTTAGTCGAATCAATAAACACCAAAAATCGATTTAAATATTTATTTATAAATCAAGCATGATTTTTAACTTAAAAATCAAATATAATAATTATTGAATGATATTGTGGACAAAATAATTATCAATTTCAAACCCTGCAGAAAACATAAGGTTGATTTTAAATATTAAATACAAAACTAATTTTCAAGACATAATGGTCTAATATTCTTTTAGTTTAGTAAAAAAAAATAATTAGGGTTTCAACTGCTGTATATTTTATAGTGATTTAGGCAGGGGGATCTCATACAGTAAAGTTTTCGAGACCCATCTGAGCAAGACAGTGATTATTTTAACAAAAGAAAGTTAAGATAGAATTAAATTTTATTTTATTTTATCTAAGAAGATTCATTCTATAAAAATAAAAAATAAAATTATTATTTAGTTTTGTTCATAAGATCTATTTTAATATTATTTATTTTGAAACAAAGTATAGGGAAAAATGAATGGATTTTAATAATGTAGAGGGTAAATTTGAAACAAAGACATAGTAAAAGATTTGGTCTCCTACCTTATTAAGCGGTCACCTCGTGAAGATACTTTAGGAACTAACTTAGAATAGTTAATAATGTTACTATAAAAGAGAAATATCATTGTTCCTTGAATGTTTCTCTTTTTTTGTTAAACCTTTTTTGTTAAATATCTTGTTTTATCTTCTTGTTTAATATTTACTGAAAAATCATTGAATTTTATTCTTAATTATATATATGTAAAATGAAAATAAATAATTTGCAAACTAATATTTTTTAAGCTTTTATCTTAGCACCCTGATAACAAATGGTTTCTTATGACTGGGAGATACACAACATGGTTGATTAGTAAAGAGAAATTTACAAAAAAAAAAAAAAATAGAGAGAAGTTAATACTATTTATATTATTAACTGATGAATCTACTCCACTATACTTATACTATCATTAATTTTAAGTTGCATATTGCTACTGTTAGTGCAAAAGGTTGTATGTAACAATCTCACACATTTATTCTCTTTGCGCTGAAGGTGACATTTTTTAGTCTGCAACTGCTATAAGTAATCTACTAAATAGAAAAATAGCAGAGGGAAGTAAAATATGAAATTATACTAATAAATCATAAAGAAATAATTGGTTTTTATTTCTTCTGTAAAAAAACGCAATTTTTACAAATGACCTTTTGCACTCATAGTAGTGATAAATGAGCCAATTAATCCTAAAATTTCAAAATACATATATTACTTTATAATAATTAATCTAGGGTGTCGGGGTGAATGGGTTAAAGAACATACAAAATATGTACAAGCCTACAAACTTACAGTTAATGGGTTTGAATCCTGGTCACGGGATACCACTGGTCAAAATTAAATTAATAAAATACGAAGAAAATATATAAGTTTGATGAACCTATCCTGTGTACTTTAATCAGAAATTGTGATGTGGTTTTTCAGGATGTCAGTATTCCCCTTATATTATGATATTTGGTCCCCATGGATCGTCTGTTTCAGGGAAAGAAATATAGGTACTTTTGCGCTTTTTGACTCTGAGCAGCCATAATTCATGTATTTAAACCAATTTGTCACTGTTCTTGGACACCAGTGAGTCAATGGGAAGGACAGTGCCAGATTGGCCTCAAAAGGGTTGGATATGGAACTCTGGGTTACCTATTGAATATCAAGAGGATCGTGTCTGTAGTAACATGAGGTTGGGTAACCCCCTCCAGGCTATCTGTGCTCCTTTGCATAAAATATGTCTATAAAAAAAACACATTACAGGGCCAAAGATCTATATGGTTTACAGAGCCAACCGAAAAAAAAAAATCTATAATACTTCAATTGTCGACTCTTTGACCATTATTCATAATCAACAACCTACTACTCATTAAATTTAACATTTAAACAGTGAGTTGAAGGTTGTTACTTATGAATAATAGGTAAATAAAAATGACAAACAATTAAAATATATTTTTTTTAACAATTAAACAACTGTTTCAACCAATTTTTCAAGTTATACAGCTTTGAAAATTAAGATGATCTGGAGAGTTGTATTGTAATTTTAGTATTCAGAAAATGGCAAAAATTGAAACGGGCAAACATGTTACATTACTTTGTTATTTTATTCAATATAATTAGTTATTAAATTTCAGTAATAAAAATGTTGGAATTATATTGATCTTTTTATAAACGTTATACCTATTAAGAGCTGTATGAAGCTTTAAAAAAATAAAATCCTGTACCACTACAGCCCATGAAGGGTCTTGGGCTAAATACTGTGATGGGAACAGAGGTACTGTTTCTTGGTCAACAGTTTTGCAAGGCAGTGATTTGACCATGGTCATGCTCAACTGCCAGATTTTTCTTCTAAATTAAATATTTAATTAGGAGTACCCACTTTATAGAGGCTAGGTGTGTCCCAAGTTCCCGAACGAAACTTTTAATTTACATTAAGTTTAATCATATGCTCAGAAAGTGCTATTAATTTGTACTATTAGCCCAGGAGGAAACCAGAAGATATATTTTTTCCATGGAACTAATGGTTAAATTTTTTTTTCTCTACCGAACATCTTATATATTATTTTGCAAATATATATCCATTTTCCGGCTCTCAAGACTGATGGATTTTGTCAAAGACTTGAATTGTAATGTTATTTTGATTGTTTTCATAATAAAAGCAACTAACCAATTGTTGAACAGTCATAAATAGAGATGGAAATGTTTAATAGAATTAGGACACTGTATGAGAAGTGTGGATCTGTGAGTGCAAGTGTAATTAATAATGGCGGCAGAATCAGGAATATAGAGACTGGTTCTGTAAGATGAAGGAATCAAGGAGAACATCGGTGAGCTATAACTGTGGTACATTTATTTGTGTTGAGTAATCTCTTCAAAGCTCATTTTTAAAGGCAAGGGCTTTACCGATTTCACTAGAGAGCAAATAAGAAGTCAAAGAGTACGTAGACATCTCCACTATACTGGAATAAAGTCTCGAAACACCAGAAAATTTCCGTATTTGAGTTGCATGCGAGATAATGGTGAGAATTTGGCTGATAATGTTTGCTCACATTCAGCATAAATTCATTTTTTTTTTTAAATTAAAAATTAAGTTCTCGCATGAACTGGCCTGTTCTTTCTACAGAATTGAATCTTATAGAACATGTGGAATTACCTTTACATATTCAAGAGCTATAGCAGGCCTGATGACATCATTCACAATGATATTGAGAGAATAGCATGGAGAGTTGTAACTGTTATTCAGACCAAGGCTTACATGATATTAAAAAACTCCTTCAGTAGAATTGAAAAGTTATTCAGAGAGATTTTCAATAAAAAGAAATTTCTCTTCTGTCATTTAATACAAAACAAAAGATTTTTTATATACATGTTTGAAATTTTTTTCTTTTTTCATTATATTTTCTCAAAATTTATAATTTACAATAAGCAAACATATTATATAGGGTAGTAGTTTATTGAATATGTAGGTGAGCAAACAATAACAATATATTTCGAAGTGTACCACTTCAAAAATTCATTAACATTAGTAATTCTTCTTAGTTAATAAGATTATGGGAAAGGAATTATATAGAGATATATTTTAGGTATTATATTTTATATTCCAGAAATGATACATTTATTTTAATAGCCTATGGTTGCATGGTCCAATTATATACATAAGGCACTTAAAATAATAACTAAATCAATGATTTTTTTTTTTCTTTTTCCGAATTCCCTTTTCAATAAAAAAAAAAAATTAATTAGGAAAAGCTGTTAAATTCGATGTAAATAAACAATTTTCACAGCATTTCATCGAGTAAAACTTATTTACTGATTTAAAACTGAAAAATTAAGTTATATGCTGCAAATAAAAATTTAATTCTACAGAAATTGAAACTGATATAAAAATATGTACAATAAACCTACATTCACAACTTATTTATTATTTATGTATCTTTGAGTTAAGCATTAATCCAGAGTTAAGATTTCAATTTCGCTAATTGCAATTCTAATTCTTCATCAGATGGAAGACTGGATTTAGTAGGCCCAACTCTATGATCAGCTCGAGGCGCTGCTGCCATCTATTAACAAAGATATATTTAATTTCCATCTACATGACTTGAATAAGAATAATAAACAAAGATTAAAAAAAAAATTATTAACACAAACCTTTCCAGATATTTCAATTCCAATTTCATCAAGGACCTGGCTTACAATTGCATCCGATTCTTTTTCATCATCAGAGTCATTGAGAATATCATCTAATGACTCATTAACTAAAATATATAAAAATAAACAGTATTATATCAAGGTGTTTAAATGACAAAATTTAAATATAATAGCATAGCTAGAGCAATCTTCAGGTAAAACTTTTTTTAATCTATTCTCAATAAAGAAATTTTATTTAAGATTTAAATTATTATTACACCAATACTTATTTAATAATTTTAAATTAAATTACATCCCTATCACAGGCTTTTGTGCAAATTTATCAGAAACTGGAATAGGTAAAAAGCTAAACAATTTTAAAACATATTATCAGAGCTTAAAAAATCTGGTACTAACGGATTAAAAACTATTAAGAAATGAGGTTAATAAATAAAGAAATTAAATTACAGTTTTGGAATGTTACCAATGGGTCAAGTAGAATATATTTATGATCTATAACTATAGCTATAGCTATAACTAAAACTTTAACTATAATATGTGATAAATACTTTTGAATGAAATCTATTTGCTAAATATCTAACAAAAAGTCCTTAATTTTTTTAATATAACTTCTTTAACAGAATTAAGTAATTTGTCGAAACTATTTAGTGCCATAGAAAATCAAATAGAAACACACAATTTCTTATTTTTATGGCTAATCACAAAACGATATCTATATTGACTTCCGCAAATTAGTTTCTGAATAATCCATGGTATTTATATTTGGAGATGTTTCAGTCCAAATGTTCAAAGCAGTCATTATTTATTATTTTTTGGGCGCCATCTTTTTCCTTTCCGACTCTGTAACTCGGCGTCATTGCAAAATAAAATTTTTATTTATAACTAAAAAAGAACGAAATGCTGAACATTTCCATTGCTTACAGTATACCGGCCCGATTTTTAGTTTTTAAGATATTTTAATCCATAGGTTCAATGAAACATGTTATCATTTAGTTTTCGATATTATATTTTTCCCTTTTTGGCTCTCTAACATGACTTTGAATTAAGATAAAATTTTGAATAATAACTCATTACAAATAGGATGAAATGTTAAACATTTCCATCGCTTCTAGTATACACGTCCTATTTTTAGTTTCTGAGATATTTTAATCCAAATGCTAAAACGTTTCAATTAGTCGACACGAGCCGACTTCACCTGAATGAGCGTTGTATATCCGAGGATGACGGCTCAATATCATTCACTACCCACAAAAAAAGTGCAAAAGCGCGCTTAAAGAAGTTTTTTACTTCAATAATCAGAAAAAATAAAAATACAGCTATGATAAAGGCAAAAAAAAAAAAAAAAAAAAAAAGAAATAGAAGCAGTTTAAAATAACTAACTCATTTCATCAGTCATATCCATTTTCATTGAGGCTTCCCTGAAAGAATTAGCAGTAGCCGCCACCTGTTCAGGTCTAAGAACCTGATTAATATTCTTCATTGTTTTAGCAGTTGTGGACATTGCTTCAGTAAGTTTAGCATTGGTTCCAATCATTCTGTTTTGAGAGCGAACACCGGAAATCTATTTAAAACATTTCAAAGACTTATGATTACATAGGAAATAAGGTAGTATACTGAAAATTCAGAACAAAAAAATCATGAATAAATTTTAAATGTTGACCAAAAACTTTAAGAAGATAAGTGTTTATTAGATCAAAAACAATAATAATTAGCATTACATTGCATCATATGTGCAGACTTTTCATTCAGGTTGGAGGGGAGGGGGAGGGGGAGATGATGGATTCTCCAAAAAAAAAAAAAAGTTTAGGAAGTTTATCTTAAATATAAAAATTATGAGTGACGATTAACATAATTATGTATCAACATATTATTAACCCGACGGTTGTATCAGAGGTGCAGTTGCGACGAGAGGCACTCTGCACTTCATGATCAGTGAAAGTTCAAGGCGAGGGTATATCAATACGAAGTGCATCCACAGAAGCGAAGATCCAGGGACGAGTAAATCGTCAAAGAGTCTACGAAGAATCCCTGGGGTGTCTTATCGAGTAGCAATGGGTAGGTTTACTCTGCAACAAACATTAGCAGCCCTGGCAACGAACCCTGAGGATGCTGCCGTCATCTTTATTGAGGCTACATATTCCAAGGATGATCCGTCCCAGGATAGAATCGAAGAAAACACCAGAAAATGGAAATCTATTATCCGGGACATACAACTATATATACAACTAAAGTGCGGAATCAGTGGTGGGTGACAAGCCCGAAAGGGACCACTCTGAGGAAGTTCTTCCCCAACGTTCAATCATGTTTGGAAGCCAAGTGGGTCCTCCCGGATTACTGGATCTCGCAATTCCTTACTGGGCATGGGGGCTTTTGAGACAAGCTCCATGGATTTGGAAAAGATGTCGATCCTCTATGTCCTATCTGTGGGATCCCGGAGATTGCTGAGCACATTCTCAAAAACTGCATCGCCTTTGAGTCGATAAGGGCCAAATTGGTGAGGGAGTGATGACCGGTCTCTATGTTCTCACAAAGACCGATTTCCCTCAGCTAGTTACGGAAGAAAACTACCCGTACTATACAGAATCTGTGTATGGGTGGAAAGAAGCAATTAGAACCGCACGCTTCAACCTCACAAGAAGAGGACAAGCACCAGGGAGGCCACCGGAACAAGGAGGAGCGGAATAAGGCCATAAACAGCAAATTTAAATATGAAAATTGGTCTCGTTGCCGAAGCAGATTGTTATGCAGTGACGTATAACAACCTAGTTCTGCAAAAAACCCGTATTGCCTCAATGGCAGGGTAGGGTTCAAATAAATAAATAAATAATCAACATAATTATTGTAAAATGAACAATACTATAAATGAAAAAAATGTTACATATAATTATCTTTGAATAAAAACTAAAATTTTAATAATATGAACATAGAGAATAGTTAAATATTTGCATACTTCTAGGCCATCTAATCGAATTTTCTTATTTAATTTTAGTTTAAATATTTTATTCATTTATATAGATTAATTGTTATTAATTTTTATTTTATTTTTTTCTTCGAAATATTGGGACAGGATAAGGGAGAGAGGGGGATAAAACGATATTCTTGTTCCCTCTCTAATTAAGAGTGATCCCCCCTCCCTCTTCCCCCTCCGAAGTCTGTTCTTATGCATTGCTTTCACTTATTCACCAACTAAAACTCTGGAACAAATAACTAACTGGAATAGATTGTGTAACAACTAAAAGTACTAATTAAATGATTCTATTGAATCTCATTGGTCGAAAACTGTCGCCAATTCTCAAATTATTTAGAACTTTCGCTATTTTGTGGGTTTCAAAAAAATTATAATTATAACTTACAAGCAAATATTAAAAAAAAAAAAAAAAAATAAATAAATTCTCAATATACTCCAGTAACCACTGCTTAGTTAATGAAAGAGGTAATACTACTTACTTATTTAATTTAAATTACTTTTAGGAGTAAAAATTATTTTGTAACTGAAGCGTTCATTAACAAATTTTAAAGTAATGCTAGAATTCTTTGAAATCGTAATTTGCCAGTACACAACTAATTGCATTAATATAAAAATTATACTACGCACAGTTTAAAAAATAATTTTTATTATTTCAACGAAATTAAAAATCATGAATAACTTAAATTATATACATAGAATAAAGCACAAAACAATGTCTCACAACAGTAACTCCGTACTTTGGATTTAATGTCAAAGGTCCTGTTTTTCTGTTTTCTTATTTGCACCAGTTGCTTAGCCAATACTTTACAGGCTTGCTGATTACCCTCTTTGACATTCTTCTTAATCTCAAGTATCTAAAACATAAATACAACAATAACAAATGTATAATTCTTAACTTACAGCTTTGCAGTTGCAGGGTCTTAAATTAGGAGAATTTTAGACAATTAACCAAGTTGTTTGAAATGTTTATTTATGAAATTCTAAACATAATTAACCATTAACAGTATTGATTTTATAATAACTGAGCTGTATATTACCATGCCAAAATAAAATTATCAATCAATTTCAGCAATGTTGTTGAAGCTACATTACATTTTGGTAGTTTCAATATAAATATTATAACAAACAAGTTGATCGTTGTTAACTAATATGAAAGACAACAAATTTTTTATTTCTAAAATTAACTAATTATTTTATTGTTCCTCACAATTAGGCTCATTGAAATTTCAACTTATTATTAATTTGGTTTCATGAACATATGTCTACTTTATAATTTTAGCTGATTATTTAAAGGTTTTCAAAATTACTAAAACATTCTTCCTCATTTCATGCCAAAGAAAGAAAATAAAATCCTAATCATATGATTATAATCGTCATTGCTTTACCAGTTGTTTTTCTTCTCTTTCCAGATGCCTTCTGTCTCTATCAACTTCTCTATCTGTGGTCCTCAATAACTTGTCGTTATTTCTTTGTTGTTCTTTTGGAAAAAAACAAAACAAACATATGACCATTACTTAAATATAAGTGAAAAAGAAACAGTGAAAGAAAGTCGTATAAAATTAATAAGGGTGTGTACCTTTTAGGGTAGGTTCTTTTCCAAAAAACCAATCCATTGCAAATTTATTGTCTGAAAATAAACAAAAATAGAGAAACATTTAAATGATTATTAAACAATCAGAAAAAATTTCACTATTTTATTCTTTTCAACCACTAACGGATCCAGGATTTAATTTTGGGGGGATTTCAGAACGAAAGATTTTTTTTTTTTGTAGGTATGTACTACGATAATTACTTTGGACGTAAATAAGAAACTAAGTACCTATATGAAATGGTGTTTAAGTGATTCTTGAAGTCCTATTAAATGTAATTAGACCAACAATAATACTTATAGAGATCATTATTTTCATAAAACATGGTTATATTTTACCATTTTGGAGGGGGCTTCAGCCCGAAAGCCCATCTCCCCATCCGTAGATCGGCCTGTGTTTTCAACAAACTATTTTTTTTATTTATATTTTTTTTTATTTCACTAAGAAGCCAAATACAGGGTCTTGAGATTCAGGATCATAAATAGAACAGTTAAAAGTAACTTGGAAATAAAACTGGTTGTACAAATGTTGGAAGAGGATCAGCTATGGTGAATTGGTCACATAAAAATAATAAAAGGGGGAAATAATGGCAGTAATTGCATATGAAACGAGAGTTGAGGGAGGAAGGCTCAGAAACATTTAAACAAAATATGAAGGATTAAGTGAAAACCGAATATGGCCAAAGTTTGAGCAAGCCCTGTAATAGTATACAAGTAGGATATTTCATTTCATCAAATTTATTTTGGAATGGAGTAGCAACAGACATTTATTTCTTCAACAATAATCTGTTTAATGTTTAAACAGTCCTGATTTGAGCTTACAGATAACATTTTAAAAAGTATTTAATATTGCTTTGATATATATGTTAAATAAAGTTGATTACAATAAAATGTGCTGTTTTGTGAAACACAGTGCATAATTAATTTTTCTTATTGAAAATGTAGAGCATAATACTCTGATGATTCAATAATAAATCATCACTAATACCAACACAGAGTTATTTATAACCATTTGAGTGTATGACATAATTTAAATCAATTTGTAATTGGGAGCATACAACGAAGTGAAACATTGCAGATGGTGTAAAATATAGTAAATCACTAAATAACATCATGCTTTGGATGGATATGTACTTAAAACAAAAATAATACTAACAAAGAAGAATCATCAATTGAAACCTCTAGTTCTTCTTTAAGACCTCTCTTATTCTGAAAGTTTGATTTCTTCGATTCTATATTCTCCTGTTCTAATGTGACAGACCTTGGCCAATATTTTTGTCACTCGTCAATCAACAGAATATTTCTTTGAAAAAGCATATTTACACCTTGTAAGTGATTCCTTAAGAAATAATGATTAACTGAAAGTCTAAACATCTTAACTGGTTGTGTACAGTATTCTGTAGGCTTATAAATAGAAATGTGTTCCCTGTTATCCATTCTGTTATTTAGCTGAGCTTTGGGGAGAACTCTGCAAAAAAAATCCTACTGATTAGAATGATTCATATATCTAAAATATTATACCTATCACTTCTGAGCTTATCAAACTGATTTTAAACAACCAGAGAAGGGAGGAGGATTCAAAATTAATTAAAAACTTTTAAGAAGGAACAAAATAGGGTAATTATTTACGAACGGTCCTCCTCTCGCCATCTTGGCTGAAGTGATGTTATGTCCCGTGTTCTGATAACGTTTACCAAATCTACCACCAGAAAGCGCCACTATTGCGGAGGGGTTGTCTTGTCCCCTCCACCTTACGTTCATTACAAATAATTACCAATTGTAACCATATACAATATATAGTGCCCACCATTTTTTTTAACTTGTCGACTTCTTTGTATCTTCAATATATCGATTAACCAAACTTTATATTTCAGATGTTATTATTTACACATATTACCTACATCAATTTTTTTTACCATTATATATTACTAATATTATTTATAATTGTAGTGTTTATATATTGCCCGTTTTTGTTTTTTTAGCTTCGAGATTCAGCATTATTAATGCTTTTCGCTTTCCTTATCATAAATGAAAGAAGTTTATTAACTTAAGTTTTGTTTTAATTGTGACACTTTATCTCTAATTGTACATTATCTAAGTATGTCCAATATTAATACAATTCAGGAAGAATTAAACAATTTTCTATAAGGGTTTTGATGCTGGATAAGGGTTATACTTATCAATTATATGTTACTTAAATCTTCTAGCAATAAAACACATTTTCAGTCTACTGAGGTACATACTGGCAATACCAGATGACCAGTTATCCCTAGCCATTTCCATTGCTGTCTACTTACATTATCTGTATCTACTTTTATATTGTATTGTCTCATTAATTTTTCTGAATCCTGTCAGAATGATTTATTAGGCAAGAAAGTGTAAGTTATCTTCATCATGTGTATTCCGCCAGACGTAACTCATTACCTTCTTCTTCATAAAATGTAAAATGTCCCTTAGTTATATAAATGAAGTATAGACCTATGAAAGATTTAGGTTTTACTTCATCTCATGTTTTGGCTTCCAGCCTCAAACTTTCCAGACATTGTTTAATGAGTTTATTAATTTCTTCCTAAGGTTTCCCTATATGTATTTCAAGACTGTAAATAATTTAACTATCGAGAATGACTTATTGTCCAAATAAGGATAAATTACCACCAGTAATGATCAAATTGATCAAGGAAAAGTAACCTAGAATATCTTATTCTTTTGTGCAAACAAATATATTTATTTTATACGGACAGTTATTCGTGAATAAAATATTCAATTAAAAATATCTAATTAACACACAAGACACTTCCTTTGGAAGAAAAAAATTGAAATGCACTTTATAAATAAGTTATGCACTACACTGAGTTAGGTTGGCTCTTCCCTTCCTTAAGAAGACAATATTTCCTCCTAGGCACTTTTCTTTATGAAATCATTACCGGTCCTTCCTACGCCTACAACCTTCTCCAATTTAAGTCCTCAATCTATTCCCTCACAAGATCTCTACCCTCTGACCTATACATCCCTTCTCATAGATCTGCCTCATTCCAAAATTCCTTTATAGCCCGCTCTGTCAACTTTTGGAATTCCCTCCTGATCAAAATTCGACATGCCCCTCCCCTATACACATTCAAAAACCTCATATTCCAATTCCTGTTCCAAAAACAGTCAGATACCAGCTAACTATTAATACTATATATGTATTGTGTAGCAATCATATAATCATAATACTTGATAAGAGATAGTTCATGCATTTCATACTATCGACATAGGAATTTCAATACATACATTTCTTTTATTTATTCAATTATAATTAACTGTTTATTTTTGTATGTATATTCAAGTAAAATTTTATTTTTTTATGAAATGAACACATTCTAACTTTATAGTTTTGTTTATAGTTCAAGTGATATGTTCATAGTTTTAATTGTTTTGTTTATAATTTTAAATGCTCTGTACATAGTTTTATCTGTATTGTATATAGCTTGCGCACCTAAGGTTTTCTTTACTTTTTATTTTATTTTATCAATTTTATTTATTGTTTCAAACGTTTAGACCAGTAATATCCTATTATTTTGTACATTATTGTTATTCTGGGACTAAGTCCCAGAATAAAGTTTTTTTTTCTATATATCTATCTAAAAGTAGATACAGATAATGTAAGTAGACAGCAATGGAAATGGCTAGGGATAACTGGTCAGATAATTTAAATTGGATTGGAGATTAAGACAATTTAGAAATTATAATAACCAAATGTGAATAATTGAGATGCATAGGTAAAAATATATTCAAAAGCATCTGTTATAAATGTTACAGGCTCAAGTTGACATAATTTAGCTAATGTTTGAAAAAGATTACTGCTTAACTAAATACCTCTTGGAGCATTGCGTTTTATATATATATACAGGTTGCTAAGATACTTGTCTATCATACAGATATGATGATTGGCATAGTTAATTATGTAGAAAATGTACGGTTCCAGGGTGAATATACAAGGGACCAATCGCTAAGAACTCGTTATGTTGCTGACAAGTTCAGATTTAAAGGAATGTCAGTAGTGTTTTCTTCTTTGATTATTTTAAATTAAATGAATCGCTAGAGCTCTCCTACATGATCCTGAAACATTTCCCTTAGAATCTGGTAATGCCAGTATGTACCTCAGTAGACTGAAAATGTGTTTTATTGCTAGAAGATTTAAGTAACATATAAATGAAAAACATAACCCTTATCCAGCATTAAAACACTTATAGAAAATTGTAAATTTTTTAGTACATACAATCTAAAATATAGCATGGTCAAGCATAAAGTATTTAAAAATTGAATATATACAATCTAAATATCTAAAATATACAATGATCAACCATCAAATATTTAAAAATTTAAGTTAATGAAGTTGTTTAATGTTTAACAAATTGTTTAAGACAGTATGCTGCACATTAGACTCAAAATGTGACAGAATATATCTAAAAAGTATAAGCATAAATATATTATGTGGATATATAAAAAGTATAAGCATAAAAATATTATGCGGATAAGATGGAAATGGGTGTTCAATCGATGCTTATTTAATGGTGGGTAAGGAATGGTTAATTTAAAAAAAGGCGGGTAATATATAACCTAAACGATCTAATTTCTATATTTACTGAAAACAGAGGTAAGGTGGAGGGGACAAGACAACCCCTCCGCAATAGTGGCGCTTTCTGGTGCTAGATTTGGTAAACGTTATCAGAACACGGGACATAACATCACTTCAGCCAAGATGGCGAGAGGAGGACCGTTCGTAAATAATTACCCAAAATAGTCTTAAAGTTTTAAATTAACAAAACTAGTATATTACTGTGTTCATAAGAGAAGATAAAACAACAGTTTCCAATACTGATAATTTTTTTTTAAGTTCTGGTGTGTCAAAAAACTTTCAACTACTCACAAAAGAAAATTAGAATGCTCATGGAGTAGGGTATCAGGTTTGGCAGATGTTCTGGGGTCCATTAAACCTTAACACCATAGTTACCTAAAGGTTGATCTAGCACCAATACTTCCTGGTTGGATTTGTTATTATTTAAGGCTTAACTGGGGTGGGCCTTTTTTACAGGATTTAGATATGATCTGAATATGACACACATCTTAATATTATTTAAAACAAAATTAACATAATTCGATTATTAAGTGTTACTTAACCTTACCTTATCTTGAAAAATATTACCTAATATCGTATACAATCAACAAAATATTTAAAACATATATAAAATTAGGTGACACTCCACCGATTAGTCATAATTCTCTGTAAACAATGTTATCATAAGCCCAGTTCAACATTCAGCAACGATATATTCGATTTGACAGGGAAAGTGTGTATGGAAAATTATCAGTTTATAGATTCCATAGAAAAAGATATCCATTATCAATTAAATTCATGGGTACTTCCGGCGTTTGAGCCTCAGAAGTGTCCAAATTGAAAAAAAAAAAATATCGGGGACTTCTATCAGTATTTGCTGAGAGTTGCCCAAATTAATTTTAAAGGTGATATTAACTAGGATTTTGATATATACGATTATTTTAATGCAAATATTGAAGATATACATTTTAGGAATCGGTATGGCTAGCCATCTAAGGGACCTCCACGTTTTCCGCTTTAATTGGCGGGAAAACTTTAAATAAATCCAACGTTATTTATTTTTTTGCATGGTATACTTTTAAGCAAATTATATAATTTGTATAATAATGATATGTTTAGTGGTTTGGCGTTAAATATCAACATATATTGGAAACTTCTTCCAATTGGTTCGCAATTCATGACTGGACTAATAAATTAGATCCTACCACAGGTCTGAACCCGTACTAAATGCAACGTCTCGGGTTCACATTAGTTTTTAATTTGTTATTTCTTTTGATTCTGATCTTAGAGCAGCATCCATCAGCGAGTAGATCTTTCAAGGATGAAAATATCTCAAGCGGATTACACTGAAAGTTTCTATTTAAAATATTAAACTTTGCATTTTTCTTAAAGTTAGCCTCTTTTATTTTCAATTCTTACCAGCATTCAGCTACTTATTGTTCAAAAACCTAAAGTTTAGCACTATGATTACATTACTTAAAAATATGATTTATAAATCACATAATGTTCCAAAGAACTAGGGAGCTTTGAGACGTTGGGCAAGTTCAGTTTAATTCAGGCGTTCATTCTCGAACGATCTTGAAATGACAAATAAAACCTGCTTTATAACCTTCTTGATAATTAGTTTTGTTTATTTTACAAATATTTTACTAATCACTAGAATTGATTATTAACATGAAAGGTGTTATTATTTTTAGCTCTGATTTTCTATAAATACTTTTAAGTTTTGTCATAAAATGGAAAAAGAATCGGTAAATACTTCCCAAGATGAAAAAGAAGTGCCTAATGAGTCTGAAGCAAAAAATGAAGCTACTGAAGTTTTTAAAAAACCAGTCTTTATCGGACCACGGAAAGGAACCAAAGTCTCAATCAAGAAATCTGTCAATAAAAGTTCCACTAGTGAAGAAACAGTTGAAGATTTTTTTGAAGGACCAAATGTAATAGAATTACAACCAGAACCTATATCCAATTTTCCCTCTCTTCCTTACAGTGAGCCAAATTGGAAAGGTTTACCCAATGATGATTATTTTCTTGAGGTAATTGCTTTCACTTCTATTTTAATTATTTATTAATGTTTTTTGGCTGATGGTATAATGGTGGCTGTTTTAGGAGCTGAAATCAGGAGTAATACAAAAAAGGATGAATCTTCGTAAAAAGTCATTTGTTGTTTTTGGAAGAATTGATTCATGTGATGTTGTTATGGCCCACCCCACTGTTTCTCGTTATCATGCTGTTTTACAATATCGAGGAGTACCTGATGGAGATTTAGATAAAGGATTTTATTTGTATGATCTTGACAGCACTCATGGTACTTTTCTGAATAAAGGAAGGTTGAAACCAAAAATATATGCTAGAATAAAGGTAATAGATTTGAAGTATGATTTTTATTTATTCACTTTTACAAAGATATTTATGATTTCTAAATTACTAATTGGCCGGTACAAATAATTAATATACTATATTGGCCAGTGAAGAAGTAGTTATATAAAAGTACCAGCTATATATTTCGCTGGTACTGCCCAGCGACCACCATTCCTGGCTGCCAACCATTTATAGTTAGGTACTTTGCTGAAACTGCTCACTGTAGCGGTTAATTTTCAAGGTAAAATCTACAGCACATATGTATGTGTTCATGAATAATATTAGAGTAGATGAAGAATAAGAAAAGCAAAGTTTATTCTGGGAATAGATTAAATTACAAGGTTATCTAGATTGAAAATTAAAAGTTAGAATAAACCTTGGAGGATTTTTGCCCTCAGACGTTCATGAGCGTAGAGACCGACACCTCCACCTCTTCGGTCCGCCCAGTCGTGACGAATGAGGGTGTAGTAAGGGATTGATATAGAGGAGAAAATATTTGGTTTGAGTAGGTTTCCAAAACTGCAACAATCTTGAAATTCATCAAAGTAGGTTGAAAAGGAATGATAAATAGGTCAAGAGAATGGATTAGATCTATAAGGTATGATTTGTCAGAGGAGTCGTAGGATAAATTGGTATTAAAGTTGCCGGCTATTATTACATTGTTATATAAAGGAACGTAAGTAAAAAGAGAGGATTCGAAGGCAGAATCAAATTGGACATGGGGAGGGCGATATGTAATGACGTAAAGGAGGAAAAAGGAATTTGAGGAAATTTCTACAAATAAATACTCTAACTGAGGAAAGTTGGGAGAGGGAGATTGTGCAGGATTTTTGCCCTCAGGCTCTCATAAACATAAAGGCCAACGCCACCACCTGTTTGATCTATTCGATCCTGACGGATGAGGGCATGGTTAGAACTGGATATAGAGGAAGAGATAATATTAGGTTTAAGCCAGATTTACAAAACGGCAATAATATCATAAAAATTATGAAGGAAATAATCTTGGAATTCATCAAAGTGAGCGGAAAGGGATTGGGAGTTAACATGGCATGTTAATAGGATATTAATCATTTAAGGATAGAGAAGGATATACATCTTTCAAAGTTTGAAAAGGAAAGGGACAATCATAAATGTGTGAATTTAAGTTTCCTAATACCAAGAAAATACAGTAAAACAAGACAATTTATAGTGAGATTTGACAAAATATAAAATATGTGCTGCTGATAAAAATGAAAGACTGTTAACTATTAGAAGAAAAAAAGAAGGAAATAATAAAATAAGAATAAAGACTCTGTGCAGGTATGTACAAAAATAAGTAAAGAAATGATCTAAACGAACAAAGCTCCGCATATTCAGGTTAATCATATTCAGAACATAAATAATTCCTTATGGGGAAAATTAGATTTGAAAAATAAATACATAAAAAATCCTGCTAACTACGAAAATAACATGAGGTAGAGAGGTGACTATGAGATTTCCATCATTGAAATGCAAGTGAAATCTTTGGCCTTGTTGATGATCACGACCTGCAATCCGTCGTCTTTTCGCCATCTGCAAAACGTATACGTATCAAACATATTTTGTTTTTCAGGCAGCCTTTTTTTGTCTGGCCAGCCAGTAAAGATGGCGGTTGCTTGTGCTTATTTCTTCCCCGATGTAGATCCTTTCATCACTCTCCCAGCCAAGGTGCCTGGTGGTGAAGTCCCTTTTTATCCTTCGAAGTTGTAATACCTCGTCCTGGATCATCTGGCGGAAAAAACGCACGACGATCGACGGTGGCCATGTATCCTCTGCTCTAGGACGCTTTCTCTCCACCAAGTGCAGGTTCTCGAAATTAGGTTTGATACCCAGGTCTGTCAGGGTGGACAAAACTATGCTGTCGGGCGTTTCCCTGCTCTTCATGGGGATCCCTCTTAGCTCAATTAAATGAGAGAGCTGTGCTTGCTCTACACCTAATCTCCATATTTTTCATTTCTGTTTTGAGGCTGTTATTTTCGGCTAACAATCTGTCAATTAAATCTTCCTGCCTTTTGGATCATACTTCCATTGATTTAAGTCTTTCTGAGTTTTTGAAAGACAAACTTGTTTGTTTGTCAATGGTGCTCTTGAGATCTTTTATTTTTTCTGTAATTTTTCCTAGCTCGGCAAGAATTAACGCAAAGTTTTTGTGTTCGGTAAGTAGTATAATCATTCAAATTTACATTTTTTAAAACTATAATGGAGAGAACGGCTTACTTAGTAATTAAGAAACGTAGTATTTGAAGGTTGGAAAGAAACTGTGAGATGGAATGGAATGGTACTATTTACATTGAATTTAAAACCTTTATTCTATCATAGATAAATTTTGATTTACTAGAATGATAAGAGCTAATCGATAATGGTTCTGTATCTACCATATTTTGCAAACAAGGCCTTAATAATCAAGGAGAGGTTTTATTTATGCCTTAAAAGATTTTTTAAAGCTACTAAGTGTTTTCTCTCTTGGCCAAACCCACTCCAATTTCACTTTAGAGATATCTACTTTTAACTTTATCTCATTATAATATAAAGTTAACGCTATGGAATATTTTGTGTTGGATTATCATTTACTGATATTAAATATTTTCTGATAGTTATTGAAAAGTGATCATCCCGTGTAATAGTCTATGTTTTCCTATGTGATCAAATGCTAGAATTCTGTATAATAATAATTTTTAGGTTGGTCATATGATAAAGTTTGGATGTAGTACTAGATTTTTCCTTCTTCAAGGACCAGAATATGATCAAGAAGAGGAATCTGATCTAACTTTGACCGAACTTAAAGAAAAAAGAAAACTCGAATTGGAAGAAAAAACACGAAAGGAAGAAGAAGAATTAAGGTTGAAACTTGAAGAAGAAGAAAAAGAAAAGCAGTTGATTGAAGAGAGAGGAATATCTTGGGGTTTAGGTAATAATTCTTATTTATTTATTTTTTTTTGGCGGAAATAGGTTCTGATCATGTTTTTTTTATTTATAATCATGTTTCTACATTTCAAATTGAATTCAGTAATCAAGATTAACGTGCATCTAACAAATGTCAATTATATTTATTCGTGTGATCTTAAAAGTGTCACTATCAATTATAGCCTAAATAAAAGGATTATCAAAAGATATTCTTATTAAATTTTTAATTTTTACAATTTTAATAAACAAATCAGGTCAGTAAAAAATTGCTGAAAGTTATGTTTAAAAACATTATGGAATCCTTTTAAGTTGTTATTGAAAGACGTTATTGTAATAGAGGCCCTAAAGTTTCATTCGGGATAATCTACTGTGTCAAATAATAAATCTATGAATATTTTATGTATCATAAGGTACTTATAAATATAGTAGATATGTTAAATGGTAATGAAATTTTAGAAAATTATATGTTTTGTTTGCATATCTTGTTAATATTTAATTTTATTTAAGAAAAATTAATTTATTTTCTCTTACATTGGTAATATTATTATATCACTGGATCTTGTTTTACATTAATTTGTTTATACTTTTGATGAGTTCGTTGGGAGTATAAACAACTAGAAATTGCTACTTTATAAGTTTTCTTCTATATTACTGTACAATGCTAATAAATTAATTATGAATAATTGTACCAGTGATTGTTGTTTTAATTATTTAACAATGGACATTTTTAAATCTAAGATGATGATGCGGACGATGAAGAAGATTTGAGTGAAAATCCATATGCTGTGATAACCAACGAAGAATTGTATATTGATGATCCTAAAAAGGCTTTAAGGCACTGGTTTGAAAGGGAAGGTGAAGAACTTCAATTCCTAACTGAACAAGCTGAAAAAGGAATGATTGCCTGTAAGATTGTGTGAGTCAATGTTTTATGTTTTTCCTTCTGTTATTTTTCATTTATTTTATTTTTGCCATTCCTTTTCTATCTAGCATTTACTCAGATATTTCTTTAATTTGAAATTACAGCCACTTATATGTTTTTAGGCTACCACTTGATGATGGTGGTGGAAAAGAAATGGTAGTGGAGTTTTCGGCAAGGAGTAAAAAAGAAGCTCAAGTTCAGTGTGCTCTTGAAGCATGTAGGCAGATAGACAAGTTGGGATTGTTTCGACAATCTAAGCAAGGTTAGTGCTCATTACTTGACGAAGTACAAAAAATAAAGCATTGGGTTAGAAAGTGTCTATATTGCGAGGGTATAAAAACTTTTCTTTATTTTATTTTTGTGGATAATAATTTCACTAGTAATTAATTTGAAGTAATGTAACCAGTTATGAGATCGATCAGAAAACAAAACAGTGAGTAAATGTATTACTGTTTTAATATGCTCCAAAATTTGACTATTTAATTTTTTATTGCACTCCAACTGTCATCTCTAGTAATCACCACATTTCTAATAATTAGTGACTGGATTTTCATGTTATTGCACACTTTGTTCGCGTAGGTGTAAGAACTTCAAAACCTACAATCTATCCGTTTTATGATCTGTAGAATAACATATTGAAATTTCATTTTGCACGTTTTGGCCTTAATTACACGTTTTTGGTTTTTGTAAAATGATATTGCATATTTTACAATTTAAGGGCTAAATTTCAATTTTAACAGTGTAAAGTAAAGTATTGAACAAAATTTCCATTATAATATGTATAATGGGCTACTGGATTACGCGTGGGACTATATATTTTAATAAAAGCTAAGGAGCTTAACTCAATACCTACTTTTTTAAAAATTTGAATTGACCTACAGGTGTAAAATCAAGCTTCAATTCATAAATGCATCATTTTAAAAAAATATATGATTAGTTTTTTGTATGCTGCTTTTCTTTCATACCGATTTAGGTTAATCATCGTTCATTTTAAATTAGAATTAGGTTATTTTCATGTTACTACAAGTTATACCCACCTTCAATTTAGAGGATATAACTCTTAAAATAAGAGTAAACAAGCGTTAATATTATAAATTAAACAAAAACTATGATTTTTGCAAGTTATATATACAATTTTACACTTTGAGGATTTTTATTGCATGAAAATCCGATCTATACTAATAATAAATTATTCTGTGGTTTTTATTTACTCATTATGTCAGCACCAATGTGAAAGTAAATTGTTATTTATTATATTTTTTAAGAGTCTAAAAGACACCAGAAAAGAAATTGGGAGGAAAATGATTATTATGATAGTGACGAAGATAGTTTTTTTGATAGAACTGGAGACTTGGACCTTAAACGACAAAAAAGGATGAAGAAAGCAGGAAAAATTCAAGAAACTGTGGAAACTTATGAATCATTGGTTAGTATTAAAAATATCACTGTTGAAAAAAAAAAAAAATACCTGAGGAAAAACACTTTTTTCACTTGTTTTTATTCTGAAGTAATAGTTGTGCTCTATAGATGTTAATATTCATTTTATTTCAGATGGCTAAGCATAATGATGTTACTGAACGGCTGAAGGAATCACAGCTGAAGTTGCAGAAATTGTTGGACTTAAGCCAAGTTGAAACTGAAAATGAAAATGAAGATCAAGATGCATTAGATAAATTTATGAAAACACTGAAACATGATAAGCCTGCTAAATTGGATATTAAAATTGCTAGGGTATAAATTGCCAATTATAAATGTTTTTCTTTTCTTTTTCATACTAGCTGAACAGTGTGAATACTCCGCACAAACCTAATATTTCTTTCTGATTTTAATACTTACTGAGTTTCATACTTATATTTAGTAAGCCATCAGTTATAAATATGATTTACAATCTGCCATAATTTAACTATTACGTTTGCTTAAACTTATAATATAAATTTTAGCTTCATTCTTCAATAGATTTCATAAATTAAATAAAGCTTCTAAAGATTGTTATAACATATGATGACAGCAAAAGACAAAAGGCTCAAATTCTTAAGAAATAGTTAGTGCAATCAGGATGTATGTTACTTTATCATTAAAGGAATCGGAAGTGTATTATTAAAATGATAAAGTTCAATAATAAAGATCTAAAAGAAAAAGCTGAAGTAATTAAAGCACATTGATTGACAAACATTCCAAGAAGTATTTTAAGAAAACACATTTATATTAATAAAAATAAAATTAATAATTGAATTATTAAAAAAGAATAAAATGTTTTCAAATTAAAAGAATTATTACTAATCTCTTCATGACAATGCTTAACTATATGTTCGTTGATTAACTTAAAAAAGAATTACTTGACATGAAAATTAAAGTTCTACGACATCCACGTTGACCTGACTTGTCTTCTACTGACTACCATTTTTTGGTAGTGCTTGACACATTTAAAAAAAAAATGTGGCAACTCAGATGTTGCTAAATAAATATTTAAAATACATCATATTATTATTATTAATATGTTTTTTAGGATGAAGTTGAAAAGTTAAAGAAGGAAGAAGATCATTTGCGGAAGCTGATAAATATTGTAAAACCAACAACCTTACCAGAATTAAAACCATTTAAAGTTGATCCTGTTCCCAATAAACAAAAAAATACTCAATCTGAAAAAAAGTTAGAAAAAGTTGAGACCAAAGAAACAAAAGTTATCAAATCTGATATCCATACTAAAGAAGAAGATACTGTTGAAATAAAAAAGAAAAAGGGTTTGTATTAAAGTATATTTTTATTGAGTGTTAGGGATTGAGTATTAAATATTCTATTGTTGTCTGGTTTACACAATTTAGTTACCATATTGCATTTGTTCAATTATTAATTTTGCATCATGCAGTGCTTAATGTATTTCTTTTATATTATATAAATCATAACTGAAGTAGTTTTTTTTTTTTTTTTTTGGCAATTAGAATTATCTAAAAAAAGTACTTACAAAAATTAGAAATAAATCAGCCTAATTAATGAAATTTCATGGGTAATACTTACACAATTATTTCAGATTCTATTTAAATCAATACTATTTACTGCAGAAGGTATTTATATTCACTTAATTATCCTTCAAATCTAAAAAAAATAAATAAATATAAAAAAATTAAATTTTATATTCATAGAAACAAAGCGAAAAATCATGTATCAATTTTTAGGGAGGTTTACATGAAGAATGTCCTTTTTACTGAATACCTAATTAACACATGGAATTTATGTTGACTTTATGCTTTAGTAATCAGTCTCTTTTATTTTAGTCTTTGGCCCAACGATACCTAAAGACAAGCTTCCTGCTTATCAGAAACCTAAGAAGAAAGAGCTTCATAATTTGTCTAAAAAAACTGCTAAAGTTAATTCGGAGGTAGGTGATCAAAGATGAATTGAGATGTATCAAACTATGTTATCTTATGTTATGTTAATTCTTTAAGACCATGAACTCAAAAATTATTTCTTAAAGATCGAAAAAATATCCTTTTTTGTTTTTGAAATCTGAAATAGCCACTGCAAATTCCTAAATCATTTTCAAGATCTTTTGGTGTCAATTTTCTTCCACTTTGAACTAATTGACAAGATCTTTTGTGATTTTATGGAGTAGTCTACAAAGGGCTGTATTGCTTATAGTTTTCTAAAAACTTACAAAAAAGTTTACCTTCATTAAATATCTTCTTGATGACTTTTTGAAATAAACTGACATATTTTTTATGACACAAAATAATATTATATCAATGGTTATGCTATTTATCTTTATTTTTCTAGATAACAGCAGATCCAGATGAAGACTGTGTTAATTTGGTTTGGCAACCACCAAAAGGGCAAACTGGTGATGGAAGAACTAGTTTGAACGAAAAATTTGGATATTAATGTGCAAAAAACATCCAATAAACAAACAGGACTGTTACAAACCTTTTCCATTTGTAATTATTGTTTTGTAAATATGACAATAAATCTAATTTAATTTTTGTATTTTATATGGCTGTCTCCTATTTTCCATATAATTACCCTCCCAAGATATTGATTGAAAAAGTTATATTTATTATAGCTATTAGATTTTAAAACTGAAGTTTACAGAGATTTGATAGAAAGGTTCGTTTTTTAAAATAATATTTAATTTATGAAAATTGTTATCTTATTTTATTAGAAATTATTTTGTCTAAGTGCGCCTGAAATATAACTTTAATACATTTACATTCTCAAAAGTAATGCATTTTTAGATAGGCTGGTTTAAGAATTTAAGTATAATGGACTTATGAGAAATGTTCTTATGCAAGATTTATAATATAGTAAAATGCAGACATTTTTATTAGAAGTTTAAAAAATGTATTTCTCTGAAATGATTTTATTGTAAAAACTAGTGTGTTTTTTAATATTTGATTTTGACTTTACAAACATTCCATTAGGTTTTTTTTATTAGATTTCTCTTTGGTGTCTGCCATCAGAAGTAAATTGGAAGAACTTAATTTGGATTAATGAAGTTAACATTTGCCTTTTTAATTTTTCAAATTAAGTTAATAGCAAGAAGCTCCCTTCCTGTAAGAATTCCTATTGAATAACTTCCTATTATTCTTCTGAACAGTATATATTTCTGTTTCATCATAATTTAAGAATACTTTCAAATGTTTGGGTGAATTAAAATTTCAATCTATTATAAAAACAGCTTAAATTAAAAACGTATTTAAAAATAAAATGTCTTGAACACAAGAATAATTTGAAAGACAAGTTTAGTATTTGATTATACTAAAGTATAGTTCATAAGCGAACGTCAACATTTTTTACTTTCTTATTTTTTTCATAAAATGTCATTTATGATAGTTACCTAGTTCAGAATGGTTTGAACTTAAAAATAAATGCTACACGACTTCCTTTTTTTTTCTTGTAGGTGTTGTAAACCCAGGTTTCATAAATTTTCATTTGAAATCAATGCAAGTCCGACTGCGTGTGCGCCTCAAGGAACCATTTAATTCCCCCTCTCCACTTTTCCCTCCCTATCCCACTCCTAGTTTCTTTAACTACAAAAACAAGCTATCGAAGTTCAGTGTGTTAAAACGAATTTGGAAAAGATTTCGTTAGACATTAATTTCTAATCGTGGATCCGTTCACGAATTCTTGAAGGAGTTGTTTTAAGCGAGTGTTGGAATGACGTAGTTGATAGTCTGGGAGGAGACATCCGCCATTGATTGACATGTACCGACCTGCCACTCAAATGTGACAAAACTTACTAGTTCGTTACTGAAGGCCTATCGTGGTTTGCCGATTTTGATTTCTTAAAACGTTTTCTCGAATTTGCCGCATATCATTGTTGACTTAACGACTTATTTCGATTTTGTAAATCAAGTTCAAACTTAGCTTATATGCAACGGAGAATATTCATTTAAACTCATGTTGTACCCCTCTTCGTTTCATTATTAGTTTCGGTGGACAATATATTTAATCCTGATAATGTAAACATTTTTTATGATTTTGTTAACATTATGTTCGAACTTTGCCAACAAAGAATTACCATAAAATATGAGAAACAGTAAATTATCGTAAGTATCAGAATGAATGTTAATTAAAATGATTGTAGACATTAATTGGCATCAATGCCATCATTTAAAGATGTATTTCAAGGATTATGAACTTAATATGCTTATTTATCACCTTTGAATTCATATAAATTTCATATTTGATTGAATTGTTTTATTTATTTATATTTAAGTTTTGATTAGATGGGCTGAGATGCAGGAGAACAGTATTGCCATGGTGTCATATTCAGAAAATATTGTCAGCTCCCAAGGAGGAAACAATGTTCAGGATCAGGCTGTGTTTGAAGCTGATAAAAGAGCAGTTTATAAGTAAGTCTGTTGACATATATTATTATAGTGAAACATTTCAAACTATCAATTATATGATGTAATATTTTTAATTATAAATTTATATTGCCAGTTCAAGTTGGACTTACTGACATTTAAAACAATTCTTATTGATGTTTTGTTTTAATATATTCAATACGCCTTAGATATGCCCTTAATTTTGTCAGTCTTAAAATTTGTTATCACTCACTTGTCATAATATTACTTTGCAAGCCGTCAAATATCATTATTGTTTGTTTTTGTTAACATAAACAATATCATCAGCCAAACAATATTTACATTCATTCAATCTAGTACAATGTTGGCAAGTGTCTAGATTGTTGTCATAATAAACAAACATTGGTTCTAGAAATTTTGAAATCAAAATATAAAAGATTCAATGCTTTATGTGTTTGTGTTGAATGGTTTTATTTCTTCCTTGCTCAGTTATATAAATATCCATGAATTCTCAATTTAATGAAGCCTATAGTTAAAACTTCTGTATTTCTGTTTATATGGTGTAAGTAGGTGTTGCAACACTCATACTTATTTTGTTAAAGATAAAGAAACATTGTATCTATTAATGTAATACGCTGACAGGTCCAGAACTTAATTTTGGGGTCTTCAGCCCGAAAGTTTTTTTATATATATATATATTACGATAATTACTTTGGAAGAAAAAGAAAGAAACTATATACCAATATGAAATGGTGTTTAAGTGATTCTCTAAGTCCTATTAAATGTAATTAGATAAACAGTAATACCTTTAGAGATAATTATTTTCATGAAACATGGTTATAAATTGATTTTTCAATGTCTGGATTTAAATATTTACCTGAAGTTAAAATTTTTTTGATTATTTAATTTATTTAATGTTATTTGGATCTAGGTATATTTGAATTTCTCTGTAAAACACTTTTGGTCTAATAAATAAACAGATAATCTTGTTACTTCAACCTTTAAAAAATGATTTTTTATAGTTTTGTTTAAATTTTAAACAATATTTCATTTAATTTTGCCTGACTTATTGAAAAAAAAAAAGGAAATAAAACTTATCAAGGTGGCTGTTATCATCAAAACAATGATCTGATATGATAACATAACCCTTAACCTCCGAACCGCCAACAGCTCCACTGCTTCAGGAGTGGTCAGGTAGGAGCAGCCTAGATATGATGTCATACCTAGACTGCCCATCAGTCCCAATGTAATAGTTTCCTTTCTATTTCACTAAAGCAGTGCTCATCCGTGGTCAGTACCAGCGAAATAGTACCTTAAGAAGGAAGGCAGTACAATTCATTCAAATAATTCTGACACAAGAAGCATTATTTCTCCAGACATGAGTGGACTAAAACGAATCTTCCCCTCGACATCATATTTTTTTCATTTCTCACTCTGTCTAAGGTAGTTTTATCTGAAAATGATATCGCTATTTGTTATCAGTTTCAAGCTTTGTGTTGGTCAGCAAGCTTTAGATTTTTTCTTTAAAAAACATTAATAATTGAATTATTTATTTATTTTTGATCAATTTTCTGTGACTCAACCTCACTAGTCTTTCTAATTAATTTCTTTGTAATTATTAAATTCATAAGCAAAATTATTATTAAATCCAAGTCGTTTTCTTAATTTATTTAATAAATGGTCTTTTCAAATGTTATTTTCCTTAAACATAAGGGTATCTTCAATAGTCACTTTAAATTTGTGACAAATAGTATTATCTTAATTATTTCAGTGGAGACATTTTTTCCTTTTTACTTTAATTACTCTATGAGGAACAGTTTTTCCAATCTTGGGACTTGGTTAGCATTTTACAGACTGAAAACCGGGTAAAATTGAAACAGGATCAGGTAATAATAAGGAAGAGTGTCAATTTTATTAAAGTGTGAATTGACATTAATTGAAATGCGTAAAACCTTGGGGTGGGTGTATGTAGCGTTTATATAGTTAAAAAAATTTAATCAAGTTCTTTTTAGATGAATCTTTTCTACTTTTGTTGCATTGTGTATTTAATATATTAGTTTGTGTATCTTTTAATTTTCTTCTGATTAATTGCTTAGGCATAAGTAATTTTTAATATATATGTTTATTATTCAGACACCCACTTTTTCCGTTACTGGCCTTATTGTTTGAGAGATGTGAACAGGCTACTCAACTAGCTGAAACACCAAATTCTGAAAGTTTTAATATGGATATTCAGGCTTTTGTTCAACATCAAGAAAGAGATCGAAAACCTTTTCTAGTCAACGATGCTGAAATCGATGGATTGGTAGGTTGACTGGAATTTATTTTCAGAAAATCTTTGTTTATATACAATAGGTTTATTATTCATTTGTTATTTTTAGATGATCAAAGCTATTCAGGTTTTAAGAATTCACTTATTGGAACTTGAAAAAGTTCAAGAACTGTGCAAAGATTTTTGCAATCGCTATATTACTGCCTTGAAGGGAAAAATGCAGAGTGAAAATTTGTTGCGGTCGGACTACGCTGCTGGCTATTTAGAAAACAACAATAACAATAGTAGCCATTCCAGCGACAGTAACAGCCCTACAGTTTTTACTCCCCATTCACCCCATAATATTCAGGTAAATCTAAATATTTTTTTTAATTTTCTGCTAATATATTATTTTCATGTTGTAGGTTATAAGGTGAGTTTGTTAACTTCTATCTATTTTATGATTAATTTTACAAAAATCATATTGTACTTCTACAAACCTGATTAAAATTGATAATGTATAACTCATACTAAACAAAAGTTATCATAGAATTTGAGTAGGTTATAAAAATAGAAATTATAATTTTTTTACATTGACTTCAACAAACGGAAATGAGTTCTTATTGGCTACTGAAATCATTTGAAAATTTACCTGAACAAATTATAATTTTTAGTCTATCTTTTATATTTTTGTTTGTAGCTTTATTAAATTTATTTTTTGCATTATCAATTTTTAGTTTCATAAAAATGTAATGATATTTAAAAAACAAAACAAAAACAGATTGCACTGAAAGAGGAGGGGATCTTAATGAACCAGTAAACAAATGTGAAATTATTAATTACAGCAAATCTCTTATTTAAGTTTTGCAGATTTGCTTATAGTTTATTAGTTATCATTTTATTGATTTATTTATGCATAAAGTTGAAATTATTTAAACTTCGGTGTGCATCTATTTTTAGATTTTTCTCAAGTAGTTACTGCAATTTGGCCTTTTCTACTTCATTAATTAATCGGACAAAGGTATTTTAATAGAAAAAAAAACATATACATTTATCATTGCCATAGTCTTTTTCGTAAGTTCAGTAATAATTTATTTTCTAAATTAGCAATAAATAAATAAATAATGTAGCAGTTCGGCGTTCATCAACTGGCATATTGTAATATATAAATGTTTGGGATTCTCTATAATTGTATAAAACTTCTGAATTTTGAGAAATTTCAATTTAAATGAAAGTTTCAATTATTTGTATTTGTAGTATGTAGTTTCAATTCTATTTATAACCAATTTAGAGAATTTTTTAAAATTAAATACTGGTTGTAGAACCAATTATAATCCATTAGAATGTTGATTAGTGTAGTGATTTTCATGTTATGAAAATATTGAAATAGTGATACTTATTTACTTTTGTCTTTTTTTTATGCCATTTTCATAACAGTTCTCCTTTAATTTGCTTATTTTTCTGTCGCAATTTTAATTAAACATTTAAAGGAAGATCCCAACCCTGTAGCAACATTTTGCCTGGATGACATCACTGGTTCATTGTATCACTAGATCACTATAGCAGCAACTACATTACATGGCATTGCTGATTTCATTAAATTCTAAACATTTTTATTTCAAATATAAAATATATATAATTGGAAATATAATCATGTTCCTCTTAAAATAGTCAATGATGGATATAGCATTTTAAACAATTATTTACATAATTATTTTTCACTTTATTTTTACAGTACCAAATTACTAAATGACAGTGTTGCATATTACATTCAACTAGTTAGATGCTCATATGCCCGCCTCTTGTTTTATTGTCTTGAAGTTTTTTTTAAATGTAATCTCAAAAGGTGTGAATCAATTATAACTTCATTATTATCTTATTTGCTATTTATAAGTCACTGATTAAAGAATGGAATTCAATACAAAGATCGAATAAACCTAAGCTTTACATATTATTAAATAATTATATACTTTATGTAAGAATGTAATTAATACTTTTTATATATTATTATTTTTGTTATTATTGAAAATATTCAACATTAAAAAAAAAATAAAAAAAACAAAAAAAACTTTGTGCTGCTTGTTTGATTATTAACCATTAAATGTGCCTTATAATAAAAAGATTAAGGATTCGTGATCCATAGTGTAGGGTGTATTAAAAGTTTGATTTTTGTAAGCTAAGTAAACAAGTTTATGTATTTTTAATTTTTTATATTTAAACAAAACTTAAAAAAAAAAAATAGTTCAGAATAAAACACTACTGATATACTACTGTAAATCCTTGTTAATACAAATTTGGATACAATAAACTCTTCATTAAAATCATACCAAAATTTAATTCCCTAAAAATATATATTGATTTTTGTATATCATCTTAGTTTTTTCAAAGTAATCTCATTCGTATGAACTGCAACTACTTTTTGACTCCATAGTGAGAAATAACTTTGTTGCAACAAATTTTTTTTTTTTTTTATTGTTTATTGGGTATTACAACAATCTGTCTCTTGGACATTGGTTATAGTGAGGTAGGATGACATTCACACTATTGGCAACAAATTAGAAAAGCATATTATAAGTAATTGGTTCTTCATTTGCAACAGCAGAGTTTTTTTATGAGTGACGGTCTTGGATTGCAATTTTATCTAGGCTCTAGAACTTGATAATAATTCATCTTCCTTTTATTTAGATTGGCTGTCTTGATAATGGTTTAATGAGTATTGTTGCTTGATTACACAATAAATTTTTTTTCTCATTCTAGTCCTAGTTCAAGAAATCCTATCTCCATGAAACTCATTAAGCTGACACGCTCGTTTTTACTAATCAGAAATCACCAATTCATTTTCTTATAACTCAACTTTAAAAAACATTTGGAGTTAAAGTTTTTGTTGTATTCTTATTTGGTTTCAATGGACCAAAAAACCGAAATGCGATATCACTTAAAAATTAATTTATTAATCTCACAAGATGTAAAGAATCATGTTTATAAACATTAAAAAGGACATCACTGTGAAGTTTATAAGTTAACATTTTCGACAATGATTTTAAATAATAAATTGTGGATTGATATTTGACTGTAGTGAATAATGAAAGAGATGTTGGTTGTGGTGTTCAGTCAAAGTACAAAGTAAAGATATGTAAATATATATTTTTTTTTTTTTATACAACAATTGACAAATGTTCAATAATGATTATGGTCAAATTTCGACCACTTGGCGTACACTAGTAAGTATAAATAAAAAAAAAAATAAAAAACTTATACAACCCAGTAAGGGTTCTGGATTTAGTACTGTGTATGTAATTAATAAGATCCAAATTGTTTTTGAAATAGTTTTAGTTAGAGAAACTAATACTTTTCTCAAAATCACCATTTTGAATATATATATAGTAGTATATATATAGATTTTGAGAAAAGTATTAGTTTCTCTAACTAAAACTATTTCAAAAACAATTTGGATCTTATTAATTTTAAATAAATTATGTTAAGTACCTTTTTCATCTGACTTGCTAATACATGAGTTATTATATGAGAAGGAGTTAGTCGGGGGTGCGGTCAAATAAATACTAAATTAAAATATATTAATTATTTTAATTTTTGCCTTAATAGATATATATATTTTAATAAATACATATATTTAAAAAAAAAACTTTAATTTAGTATTTATTTGACCGCACCCCAGACTAACTCCTTCTCATATTATATCAACGGTCAACCATCTCTACATCATCATGAGTTATTATAATTTTGATTATAGTTAATATAATATTATATATTTATATATTTTATTTTAGTAATATTTGTAATGAAAATAACTGTTACTGTATACTGGGGTAACTTGGTTTAAAAAAATGAAAAAAATATTTTATTTGCTAGAGTAAGACAATGAAAAGAATTATTCCTTAGAACGAATAAGTTACAATGACTCTTTTTGATTAGATACTTGTTAGAGAAAATATTTTTTCGTCCTTTCAGCTCAAGTTACCCCGATGGACAGTATTGTTAGTAATTTTTTTAATAATACCTATTAATATAATATAAAACACTTATTATCTTATTTTTATGTATTGTTTTCTCATTTTAAACAATGAAAAAGAGTATGATTCTATGTGATTAGTTGTGATAGGTGTCCCCGGTAGGGTGGAGCGGTCTAATGGCTGAGGCTCCCCCCTGCCCTCCTTCACCCGGTGTGATCCACGGCAGCACTCCTCTTTCACAGATCGGCGCTAACCCCTGTCCACCACCATCGGCCGAGTCTTTGTTACAAGGTATAGATAAAGCATTGCTATTTCCAAATTAAATCATTAATTTTTTTGTATTTATTTAATACATTTTTTGTTAATGATTGACAGTGCTTTAACTTACAAGAGAGAATCACTTTATTATCATAAAAGGGTTCTGCCCAATTACATTGGGTTGCTTTAAACACAGCATACTTATTAATCGCTACAGACAATTTTCCAAAACTAATATATAATTATATAGTATTAACAATATGTATGAGCATAGTATACAATTTTTTTTATATCTAAATATATTTTTTATTATAATTTTTTTTTCCTATATTTTTATTTATTTATTTATTTATTTTTTTTTTGCTATTTCTTTCATTCATTTATTAGCATTATACATCCCTTTCTGTTCCTTCTCTCACCTTATACATTTTTCTCATTCCCTAAATTTTCTCCTCTCTTTTCCCAACCTAATTCATAACATGCATACAAACACATAAAGTGCAGTGGACGTGGTCAATAATATATATATATATGATTAAGAAATAAAAGAAAACCTGCATCACTTCACAACCGATGGTGAGTCCTAGTCAGTATTTTGCAAGGAAATACAGTTTCAGTCCACGGCTGATGTAGTAGAATAAATAATTACCTTTATTGACCGGATTAGTATGAATATTGGTTATGTTTAAATCCGAACTATAAAAATAAATCTTTAGTTTAACATTATGATTGAAATAGATGTATTTATTCAATTAAATTCAGATTGGCTACATAATAACAAGATCTTATTTATCATCTATGTAAAAAAAAAAAAATTAGCCAACAAGGTGGTTCAATTATCTCCAGACTGAGGAAAGCCTACTATATTCAGTTTAACACGTTAGCTGCTGAGCATGATATCTCTTAAATCTATTTCCCGACGATATCGGTCCCTAGCAACCGACACTAGTTATGAAGTTCCTAACAGCATCGGACGTCAGATACATGCATCAATTTTGAGGTATACCGCTATTTTTTTTATGACAAAGGTGAATTAAATTCCGTATTCAGAGTCTCTATCTGTTGATTGTATCCTCAGTAATGGCCAGCAATTGTAGGAATGGACTCCGAGGTCCGATGCTGTTTATATTATATGACTGTTTTTTTTATTAATTCTCTTTATTTAAGTAAAAAGTTTTATTTTTAGGGATATAAATCTTAAATATTGAAAATGAAATGAGAAAAAATGTATTTATTATTCATAATTATAATTTATACATTATTTATATGTATATTATATATTATTTATTTATTTATACATGTTAAATAAGCAAGAGAAAACAGTCTAAGATGAACTCTCAAGAACTACTGCACGACAGAAGCCCTAAGAAGACAAGACTGTATCGACACAGTCAAATATCAAATATGTATCGGACACCGGAGAGTGATACTGTAGAGAAATCATTTTTTATCAGTCTGGTACGGTATTGGTCCCCAGGATCTGATAAATTTTTATCAGATTTAATGATTATTTATGCTCATAACTTTACATCTATCCAACTCCCATTAAAATATTTTTAAAAATTACCATTTTAGAGACTTCGTAAGATAGACAAAATTCTAAACAATCCCAGCCGTTCAGTAATCGAGACTAATATCGGACCCCAGGGACCGTAACCGCAGCTAAATTGTTAATGTCATTTTTATTATTCTTAACAATAAAAATATGTGTTTATAACTAGGGTATTCCCTTTTAGTACTGTGATAACCATGTCAGTTGGCTCATTAGACAAAAAAATGAATTTGAAAAAATTTATTGGTTTGAAACAACTCACTCGAAATCCTTAAAATTGCGCTTGGCCTCTATTCCACTATTGCTGAAAATTTAATCTTTGCCCTATCTTGCATTGGAAATCTTTCGGATCCTACTTTACTGTAATTTTACTTCCATAGAATTCAAGAAAAAAATTAAATGTATATTTTTGTGCATTAAAAAATTACTAAAAAAAAAAAAATAATATAAAGCAAGACTGATAAATGCCAGTGTCAGTTCAGTTTTTATTTAATTATGCTTTATAAACTCAGAAATTTTATGTATAGAATATGATTCAATATTTCTTTCATTACGATACAGAAAATTACCAAGAAATCTGATATTATTTATCTTCTTATTTATTAATTAAGATAGTGAAATGAAAGCAATAATATTATTCATTCCTTTGGCGACAACATATATATTCATAACTACTTGTATCTTATCAGTTTTGTTATCTTTTTAAATTTATGTATATATTTTTTTCTGTTTCCTTAATAGAGCTTTAAATCATTCGTGATATCAACTGATGTTTTTGAATCAATCCCAGCTAAGGCATATATAAAGACATAAAGTTGCAGAAAATAATTGAAAATTATTGTTTATAAAACTAGATTTTTAAAAGAATTATTTTGTTAAAGTGAATATTATTAACCTTTTGAAAGATGCGTGTCTTTAGTTAAATGGGAGTTGGCGCATGTACCTCTAATACACCAGTTATGATTAATATCTGATTATAAGATAAACAAGATTTCTTTTTGTTAAACGTGAACTCTGTATTTCTAAAATAATATTTTAAATATTAAATAGATTTTATTTTCCAGTGTAATAATGTAATCATTAATTTTGCACATCTCTGATTGAGACATATTAAATATTATCAACAAATAAACTGTTGGCATTTCATACATTTTTATTAATAAGTATCTTCTTTATGACAAATATGAAATAAGTGTTGCCTTTTTTGTTCATGCTAAATAGGTTTGTCTGGTGCTCCGATTTAATAGTTTAATTGTTGTAATAGTTTAATATCTCACAAGGCCATTTAATTAATTTCATTATAAATTCTAAATATCTCTAAAATCACTACGAGTTGTATTTTATTTAGTGGTGGGATGGCCTAATCTGTAAGCATAATACGCGTTGTCCGGCAACCTGATTAACCCAATATAACATGATAGAATAATACGAGTTCACATCCCAGTTCTGAGGGCTTTTAACTCTGGCATTAATCTCCTGCTCTCATCTTTGGCCCAGGAAAAGCTTAAAAGTCGAGAAAGGGGAGGATAAAAAAAAATTGTATTTTATTTTAAATAATAATAAAATATTTTTTAAAAATTCATGAAAAATGAATAGTTATGAACTTCGCATGTATACTTGAGGTACCAAATAAATATGTTTTCACTTTCTCTTTAGAATAAAGAGAGGCTGTTAAGAACTGAAGTAAGGTAGTATCGCAAGAAGGAATATAGAAAAATGGTTGGATTTATCCATCTTTTGTTTCAATAATAACTGAAAAAAATTATTGACAGATATTTGTGTCCATCAGAAGGTTAACAACGATTTAATGAATAAAATATTGAAAGATCACAATTTTCTAGCACAATAGAAATGATGTTATGTTACTGTTACTGTGGAAAAAGTTTAGGATACCTTGGTTTTCTTCACTCTTATACTCTATTTCTGTTCCTGATTCTTCCTTAGCTCGTGGATCAATAGGTGGACAAGGTATACATTAAGTGGAGTATGTTTTATTACAAAAATTAAGATAAAATCTTTTATGTATCCTCTATTTTCACTTATATAGATACCACACTGTTTGTTGAAGAGGAATAGGTCACATTTTGCACTTGGTTTGAAAAATTCTTCTAAATTTATAAGTAAACTAAGTACATAAGAACTTCGAATTATATCTGTGATAATAACGAATTTATACATATTTTTTTTGTTATTTTTAGGGTCATTATCCGCAACAAGTGGTGGCTCTTGTGATGAAGATGACGATCCTCTTGGTTGTAGAAAAAAGCAGAAGAGGGGAGTTCTTCCAAAGCAAGCTACAACAATTATGCGCTCATGGCTTTTTCAACATTTAGTTGTAAGTATTAGTCTGTAGTTAAATTGAATTTTTTCTGCAATCTATCATTTCCTTTATTGAATTCTCAATAAATTGATTACTCAATCATATTCATAAATACATTTTTTTTTCCAGCATCCTTATCCGACAGAAGATGAAAAAAGACAGATAGCTGCACAAACGGATCTTACTCTTTTGCAAGTTAACAATTGGTTTATCAATGCACGGAGACGAATTTTACAACCAATGCTCGATGCGTCCACTCCTGCAGATTCTACAGGTATTAGCCATAATCCTTTCTTTGTTATCCAGGTATTTAGTGATTTGTGAATTCAAAATGTAGATACTTTATTTGTTTCGATTGTTTCTACTCAGGTTTTGGATTTTCGACAACTACAGCCAGCCTTCTCGATCTCTGTTTACTATGGGCTTCTACTTTTCAATTAGCTATCTGCAGTTCTCTAGTTCTTTCTTGTTTACTTTTATCTATCCATCAGTTTTTGTCCTCCCAAGCGGTTTCTCGACTATATATATTGGCTTTCATGATTTTGTACAGGCATCCTGATAAATTGCTCTAAGCTAAATGCCTTGCCCATCTTGATGCATAAGTGATAGACCTTACTGTCATAAATCTCTTTTAACTTCAATTGCTTCTGTTACTTCTTGAATCAGGACTTAACATTTAGGATCATTTGAAGAGGTGTTAGTCACTCTGACCAACTTTCTGAAAGAGTTTTCTTCCGCATCTCTGAAGAGCTCTGAAAGAAGGTTGTCCACATTGTTACATTATGCCTTTTAATAGTTGTTTCCTATCCTGTATACTTTTTTTCTATCTCTTGTAGGTTGAGGTACTTTTTAGTCTTCTTTATTTAGAAGGTTGGTTGCTTGGTATGGAATTAAGGCATAAAACCTTTAGGTTATCAATGCTATTAATTAAGTTTATATATATATATATATATATATATATATATATATATATATATATATATATATATATATATATATATATATATATATATATATATATATTTATTTATTTATTTATTTATAGTTATATCTGCTGGTTTTGCATTGAAAAAAAAGTAATAATAGAAAAGAGAAAAAAAAAAAAATAAAATAGGAGTAATAAGGTTTCTGATATTTTTAAAAATTCCTTCTTCAGAGAGAAAACATATGATTTTAATCAAGACTTCTTTCTTATTTCCCTAAGTAGTCAGTATACTTGCTGGCACATTTTTATTCAACTTTCTGATGTAAAAGGCTCAACTCTCAAAGATATGAGCCACAGTCATTATCTCCACACCTTCCACAAATGGACGGGTTTTCTTTATTGATTAAGTGAAGGTGCATGCATAAGCCTACTATGTCCCATTCGCAGTTACATAAGGATGACTTCCTCTCCGTGATTACTATGACTAGAACTGTTCCATGGTTTTACTTGACTCTTTATGATCTTCAGTTAATTTGGAGAGCTGTTGTCCTACACTGACTCTTTATATACCGCCTCTTTTAGTGGCGCGCCAGTTAGGACGCTGTTAAGAAGGCTTTACTTTATTTAGAAGGTGATTAAATTTTTTCCAGATGCTTAGCATTACTCTTTTTTGATACTCTCATTTTGCCATATTTTCCTTGCATTTATTTAATCCTCTCATTCTCAATTTGATTTTCTTATCAGTTTTGGCTAGGCGGACTTTCATCTTTCTCCTTTCCTCTATTGCCTTTTCAGACGAGCCAGTAAACCACCTTTTATCTTTTAGTTTTTTGTTAATACTCATCACTTCCTAAACCTTTCCTCCTTGCCTCCTTGTGTCACTCAGTGATAAGAGTATCTATAGCAATTGAGTTAAAGAGTCGAACATTTTTGTGTAAATAGAGTTGGTCTTTGGCATTCTGAGATCTCGATTTTTTTCTCCCATCCCTACCATTGAGAAATTAAACAAGGAAACAAACTATAAAATATTAAAAAACAAAATAAAATATGGAATCAATTTTTTTCACCCTAATTGATTTTTAAATTCTATTCCACTAGTGAGCATTAATAAAATACATTTTCTTCCGTTTTAAAAACAAAACTTGGGGAAAATACTACTTCCCCAGTGGTGGTTTTCTTCTACTAGTATGTATTTTTTCTTTCTTTTCCCTCTCTGTTATATTGGCTCATTTTATTATTTACCTTTTGTTTGCACTTTATGAATCAAACCCTCCAGCTAAAGCTTTGTCTCAAAATAAATTTTTATGGCCATGTAGAATTGACATAAGTGCCTTAAGTTTTTCATTTGACAGCCTTGAAATCATTGAATTATTCTTAATTTTTTAATCCTACATAACTGGATACTATGCCAAGGATTTAAATTCATTTATCAGCTCTGTATGAAATTAGCTTTCACCACAGGATTTTTCAAATTAAGGATTTCATTCTTGTTTCTGTTTGCTCATTTTTGTTTTTCGCTCATCTTGAGCTCATTCAAAGGTATCTTAGAGATATTTCTGTTGGGGATTACTTTCTGCTGACCACTATGCTCTTGGCTGCTGTTGAACTAATGTATTTTGCTCCATTTTTATTGCCAAAGTCTTCAGTGATGGCCCTGAGGTGGACTTCTCGACCAAGCTGGCATTGAAGTCACCTGTGACTAATTTTTTGTATCCGATTTTCAATATTTTCTTCTGGATTGTAGAAATTGTCTTTCACTTCATCATCTTCATCTTTAGTTGGCGTTTATGCGTTAATGAACATAGTTTTAAACAAATGAAATCAAGTGAAAACAACCTCATTGTTACTATGTTGAGACAATCAGATTCTCCAAGGCTAGTACTAGGTTTTGTTTTTAATTATTTTTATGATATTTTAAAAAGATTAATATTTCTTAATGTTCTTCATTTCAGGAGTTAATAGCCTAAATAATAACAATGGCAGTAAACAGGGACTGACTAGAAAAAGTAAAACGTGCAATGGTGGTAAAACTCCTCCGCATAGGTACTGGTGTGATACAATCACCAGGATCGGATCTGTTGATAGCACTCAAGGTATTTCCTTTATCTATTTTATATACTGTTTGTTGAATTTTTATAATAATGTCTAAATTGAATTTAAATTTAGTTATTAGTCATTTCTTGGAAAAAAGTCAGGAAATAGAAATAAGACTCTTTTATTATTCAACTTAGAGAGGGTGTAGAGGAATTCGAAGCCTTAAAAGCTGGCAAATTCCATTAAAAAAATGGCAGGTGTGGATGAACAACTGTTTAGGTTTAGAACGTCAAGTTTAACAAATTTATTTTTTCAGACAGTTTGGGTTAACAGCAGCAACATCAAATAAATTAAGCGATTTATTGATGTCATCAATGAGTTATAATTAAAATACAGTTCTTACTAGAGGTTTGTGTATATCATAAATACAATCACTTATGAAACTTTACAAAATACTTGAAATAAATTCACTTAAACTTTTTGAAAAAACAATATAACCTTACAACAAGAGACGTTGGGGTGTTCAGTCAAACAAATAACAAAGTAAAAATAAATAAATTATATTTATTTTGATTTTTGCTGACGCTTCGGTCCAAGTTTCAGGCCTTCATCATGTCTAATAATAACACGATTATTTGAACCGTTCAGTTGACAGAATGACCAATTCCAATTTCAACATTTTAGATTATTAATTTTAGTGATATTTCTAACAGGAAATTTTATATATGTACAGACAGTGAGTTATTTGATTCCAGAGTAGGTAATTGTAGTGTTAAAATATAGAACTGTGAATAAAGGTATACATTTTCCCCATTAGAATTATCACTAAAATTAATAATAAAAAAATGTTGAAATTGGAGTTAGTCATTCTGACAACTGAAAGGCTCATTTATTTTATTTTATTTAAACCCTACCCTGCCGGTAAGGCAATACGGGTGTTATGCATCAATGAGTAGCAACACATGCGTACACAACTCACTGTTGCATTCAGACCAATTACATTTTTTTTATTTTTCAGCTGTGCACACAGCCTGCTCTTTCTTCTTTTCAACCTTTAATTATCACTAAAATTAATAATAAAAAAATGTTGAAATTGGAGTTAGTCATTCTGACAACTGCAAGGCTCATTTATTTTATTTTATTTAAATCCTACCCTGTCGGTAAGGCAATACGGGTGTTATGCATCAATGAGTAGCAACACATGCGTACACAACTCACTGTTGCATTCAGACCAATTACATATTTTTTATTTTTCAGCTGTGCACACAGCCTGCTCTTTCTTCTTTTCAACCAACGTCCTCTTCCACCCTCTTAGGTGTTCTTCCGGATGCAGGTCCATCTCTTTTTTCCAATGAAAAGTGGGTTGAACCAACGAGTTCCTTCCACCCGTATATGAAGGCCTTGTAGTACGGTTATTTATACTTAATCATTAGTTTAAGGAGATCGCTTTCCGTCAGAACGTATAGCCCAGTCTCCCTCAACAACTTGGTCCTCAGTGCTTCAAAGGCGGTACAGTCAACGTGGCTGGGTACCTGACACCCCAAAAGGCTCCCTACTTTTCATGCAGTCCAAGTGAGGCGTAACATTGAAATTTCTCCCAATTCTTATGCCAAGGTAAGTAACAACCTCACTTGGACGTATCCTTTCTTCTTCTCTTCTGAGAGTAATAGGGTTTGTCAGTTTTACCCATTAAAAGAATAGACTGGGTTCTTAGCAGCAGCCTACTTCATCTTCTTTTTCTTGCACCACCCTCCTACTAGGTTGGCACATCATTCAACTTCTGTTTGAGGCCACTACAACGGCCAGATCGTCTACACAAGCTGTGGTGGGGAACTGCTCCTGTTTTAGCACTCCCAGCTACTTATCAAAGACTAATTTAATGGAAAGGCTCATTTAATGGATGACTCAAATAAAGAGATATAGTTTTTTTTTTTTTGTGGGCGGGGTGGCCGAATGGGCTAAACCGTGTGCACTGTTGCCTGGCAACCTGACATATGAATCAAAGACATAAAAATAGTCCCGAGTTCGCGTCCCGGTGCCAGGGAAGTCTTTTAAATCCCCGCCCACACTCCCTGGCCCGGGAAAATCTCGTATAGCCTTAACGGCGAGGAAGGGAAGGACGCAAAAAAAAAAAGAAAAGAGATATAGTTTTGTATATAGAATAATAATAAATTATGAATATATTGGGGATGATGAGGACTAGACCCCAAAACATTTAAGTTTTTGCTAATGTGATTTAATTAAATAAATCTATTATTAGAAAGTTTGAATTCCTCAAAAAATCTCTGTTGATATTTACAATATATTTTAATGTTGTTTTTTTTTTTTTTTTCCATTCTATTTAGATGGCAGTGACTGGGAGAGCAGCTGTGAAGCGGATGTTAGCGAAGGAATACACCAGAGTGAAGAAGAATCGCAGCAATGACAGGACTCTCTGCTCTGAAAGATTTCATCGAAAAGTACCGTTCAACCCTACGCCAGTGTGACTAGCCATTTATTTGTTTTACTCATTGCTTTCCAGACTTTTACGTTACTTTATTATAAGTAATTTTAATTTCTCTATTTTAAATTTCTGCTGGTATGTTATTGTACCAAAAGTTTGATTTAAAATTTTTTTTAGTGCTTACACTTTGTGGTGTAATCTTATCCGAAATTCCTCCTAAGTGAATTTAATTTATCTCAACTCATCAGCTCTAATGAGAAATCATAATATGAACCTCCTGTTGAAATGGATCTTCTTCAGTATTAGTACTTTAGCCAATAAATTCAACCTAGATGTTGACAATAATATTTCTATAATAAGTCCATAAAATCATAATTTTTCAAAAATTTTTAGGGATTAAAGAAAAGAGTTATAAAGCATGAAGAAGGTTAAATATCCTAGTGGAGAAAAGTTAGATTTTTAGTTACCCACTCATTTTGAGGATTGGAATGATATTGGCAGCTCATGATTTTGGTTTTAGTCTCTGTAATATATTAGCAATTGTAATATGGATGTTTCTATATGTTGTCTAAAAAACTTTATATTAATAATTGTCCTTAGAATTTCATTAAAATAAAATTGCTTCGCAACTTATGAAAAATTTGACTCGTTATATGCGTCATGCATTTTCATTCTGAGCTTTGATTTCATGTTTTTTTTAGAGTACAGTTACTTGAATGGATCACTGCAGTTACATGAAAATCATAGTTTTAAGTAATCACAATAATAGTTATAAAATTCATTTTAAATAAAATTACTATTCGTCAATGGTGAATAAAATGTTGAATGTAGACAATTTGGTTGGGAAGTTAACGTGGGTTTGCAATCAGAGAGAACACAAATAATAATAAAAGATTTTTATTTTTGAGCTGAAGTTTTGGCCTAAGAAGTCCTATAACTTAGGCCATGTTCTCTCCAACCATATTCCAATCTCCAACCATATTCTCGACCGAAATTACTATTCGTCTTATACTGTGGTGGGATTGTCTAGATTCGTTTTGTTGAACTAACACAAAATGAATATTTACTTCCCCGCTCTGATCGGACTCTACCTCAATATGCTTGGTCATTATGACATCAGTTATTTTACATTACTAATTACACATTAACTTACTGATGTACTAATTTCGAAGACCCAATTAATTTACTATTAAGCTATTCAAAACCTGTTTTGCATTGATAATCTTTAAAACCAAACACTTACCAAAGTCTGAATCTGACTTTCTTTTATCCTTTTCGGTCTTTTGGAAAATTGGCCTGTTCTGTTTTTCATTGAAAACTTTTCTTATTGTTGGATACACTTCGTGTCAATTCAAGCCACGATTTATGTACATTGTAATTGAACAATGACTTCTTTTGGTGGTCCAAAGCACAGTCAAAAAGTTACCAAATAATATGTTCAAATACGTTAATAAAAAAAAACATTCCTAGCAACTGAAGTTTTTATTAAACAAAAATAAATTGACAAAAATAAAAATTTTAATTTAGCTGTAAATAAAGTTTGTATTTAAATGGAAAATAGTTATTAATTTTATAATATACAATAATTCATTATTCTTTGAATTAGTTATTGTTTTCTAATGAGAGATCATTGATAATTGGGTAGGAATATGAATTCGAATGGCTGGTCTTCAAAGTTTATGTCTGAATTGATTGCTTGTATATTATTTATATTTTTATTAAGGCATATTCATATTAATCTAGATTCATTTGTCGAAAGTGGACAATTTCATTTTTTTTGGAAGCATATAAACTCTTCTAAAGATGTATCTCTTGTGCTAGACAAAAAGAATTATAATTTTTCTTCGGGCTTCAGAAACACCTAAGGAGCTCATTGTAATCCAACTGAACCAAAATGATGTCATGTAAGACCTTCATTTGGACCAATGCTCACATCTACTCAACAACATGGACCATACCAAAGGCCAAGGAATAAGGGACAACATTATTTTAAAAGGCTATGAAAGGATACTTCTATTAATAATTTTCGGGGCAGTTAATGCAAATTGTGAATGGAGAATGGAGAACAAGAAAGTGTATGAAATATTGTGGGAGAACTTGACATTAAAGGGGTTCCTGTGAGAAGGAATTGTGATGGGTAGAGGAGGAAGTGGTACAAGATATCAGTTTTGGTCATTCTCGAGGGCAACTCCATTGGACAGAGCCATTTGCTTGAGTAGGCTAGGGCCCACGCAGGATTGTTATCTCATATTTTTATTGTTGTTAGTTCAATAATTTAATCTATTTTCCTATTCACATTAGCATGTGCTTCTCTTTCATGTGAAGCGACATTTTTTTATGCTGGTCGAAAATCTATCGACACATTGAAGTTCAATTGATATTCTTGATTGTCCCTCATTAAAATGAATTTGTTTATTGGATTTAATGCTCTCTATTTACTCCAACCAAGGCAAGAAAAGGTTACATATTTATTATAGTTTTTGTTTAAAGAAGGTTCTATCTAAACATTTAAATAAAAATCAAACTTCATGTAAGTTTCATTTTCAAACTTGATGTAAACATGTCAATTGAGGACCATCTGTAATTATCACATTCTTTTTTATATTGAGAAGTTTTATATTGTTATTTTTATTTATTTTTTTGTCTTCCTTCTTATATAGAATTACATATGAAAGCTTTATCATTGTAAATTTATTGCAATATGTTTGTGATAGAATTTATTTTTATTTTTTGACAAAAACATTCCAATAGATTTGTGAGTATTTATATTCAAAGATATAAAATTTTTATTGAAAAAAAAAAGAAAAGTTTTTATGTATATCTTGATCTGCTGAAAAGCTTGTGCACACTTATAAAAAAATATATAAAAAGTAAATCATTATTTGAGTATTATTTTTAAAAAAAAAATTATTTTTTTCCCCCCTCATTGTTTATCTTATTATTTAGGTATATACATTTTTATAACAGACAGTTACATTGCTATAGATATGCTCGTGAAATTTGTGTAAAAATAAGCCATTTTGACTATCTTGTTGATAAGTAATGTTGAATAATTCCTTAAAAAATGATGTGATCTGATTAATGTAGTGATGTATTCATTACCATCAATCTCATGAAATATATTTAGGTGTGCTCATTTATTTATAAAATTTGCTTTGTTTTAAGTTTTTTATTCTTGTTTGTTTTATATTTTATTAAACGGCTCGTGGTAGAGATCGGTATCATAAGTGTCTTCGATTTACTACTCTCTTATTGTTAAATTTTATTCTATGATTCAGTTTTATTATTATCTATCATAATATAACATAACAATCAGAATACCATAAGTTCCATTGATTGAAATTTACTCAAGCTCCTGGAAAACTTAATTAAAATGTCTATTGTCTGGACTTTTCGTTTTTGTGAAAACGTTTATAGAAATTTATTTATTTAATTCTATCAAATACATTGATTTGATTTATGTAAATTTCAATTTATTAAGATATTACAATTTTTCATAAGAGGTCACTTGGGAATATAATATTTATATTGATGGTATTGAAAAATAAATAACTGTTCGATTTCCGGGTTGCAGAAATTTCTTTAAAGTCAAAATAAAAATCATAAATTTACATAGTGGATACAATTTTATTTTTAAAATTATAGGAATTATGTATTAAATGTCTGATATTTCACTTACAATATGTACATACTATTTAATGAAGATGTACGAATAATATATAAAATGTGCATTAAAATATATGAATAGTGAATTTTTTCTTTTGGCAAAGTAGCTATTAATATCTTTTTGTATATGTTCTGCTAAAGTTGTTTTAATATTGGCAATCAGGAAACATAATTTTGTACCTAATTGCAATATATTAATTACAAGTATTATTAATAATCAATAATCTTGTATCATATGTGGGAAAAAAATGATAAAAATTATAGTTTGATTCATCTAAAGTTTAGTTGTTATCAATAAATAGGAGATGAAGATATGGAAATGGTTGACCGTGGATTAAATTTCACAAGAAATTAGTCGGGGATGCGGTAAAAAAAGAATACTCTACTATTTTTTATAATAATATATTTTATTGTTTTGTCCAACGACCTATTTTGTAGGTCTTCCTCAGGGCTATACATATTATTATCGGATTTTATATAAACAGTATGTAATACATTATATAATGTTAAAGTATATGTAGATGACTATTGACATTCAGTTCAATAGGCCACTACCTTATAATCCAGTGATTATTTGGATTACGAGGAGTATACTAAAAGTAATAGGCAGTAGGTATACAATCCGTATCGAGAGCGTATTTATCCAATTCAAAAACCACAAACAACTGTCCCTCGCCTCCTCTCAAATCCTTAACCTATTTAAACAACAATAATTCATCAATTACCTTTTCATACCCACCTTTAGATGAATTTAATTACTTAACCCATTATACAGACTAACGCAGGAAACTACCTCTTCAAGAACCTTAGGTATTATTCTTATCTCCTTTTAATATATAGCCTTCTCTTATCTCGCCCATTTACAATTTTTCGGCAACAGACAAACACTACTTTTTCAACCCCCTAGTCGCTTTCTGCCTGTCAGTTTTTTGTTACCTGATCCGAACACCAGACAACCAGTTGACATTTAGCCTTCAACAATGTCTGCCTGAATGCTATATTTTTTTACTCTTATTATAATTATTCTTTATATACCTACTACCTATTACTTTTAGTATACTCCTTCTTATCCAAATAATCCATTACCTTTTCCCAATTGAACTGAATGTCAATAGTTATCTACATACTGTAACCTTCTATAATTAATTATATATTGTTTATATAAAATCCAATAACTAATATGAATTGTTTGTATCTTATATAGGTCGAATCTTATATAGACCTACAAAATAGGTCGAAAGGTTGGACAATACAATAAAATATACTATTATAAAATATGGTATTTTTTTTACCGACCCCTGACTGATTTCTTGTGAAATAGGAGATAAAGATTAGACTTAATGGAAAAAATGGTACACTAGAACTTAAAACTTATTACAAAAATTGTAAATCCTAATGAAATTGGGGAGAAAAATAAAAATTAAAATCATGGGATTCAATGATAACATTGTAATAAAGCTTTCAAGAATATATTCTAAACAAATTATTTTACTTACTCATTATCACTTGTAGATGTTTTTATTATTTTCTTCTGGACTAAAATTTTTGAGCTACAAAAATTAATTAATTTTGTACCAGTCATTGTTCTTATGGTAAATTAATTTCAATTACTTAAAACAGAAGAATGAGTCAATTGTATTCATGATGTATAGAAAAAAAAAATCTCGTGTATAATATCCCAAGAAATATATTTCTCCTTAGACAAAGGAGCTAACATGTTACCTTTTTACCTAATGTTTACGTGACATGTTTTTGTTTGTATAACATCCTATTTCTCTTGTATTTTATGTCGACTGCACGTAACAATCTCTTGAATGGTTAAACATGGTATACACCATTTGTATAGTACAGTAAAAGACAGTCATCGCTCTTACACATGTGTGAATATATGAAAACAGCTGGCCATCAGAGTGCCATATTAATTTCTACTTTAATTATGAATTAAAAACATAAATGAATTTCAGCCCTGAAGATTGTAGTAACGTTTTGAAATATTGGTGCTTTTATTTTAGCTAAAGAATTCTAATGAATCATATGAGTTTTAGAAAGCATTTTTTGTTGTTGTTTTGTTCATCTTAGTGGCCAGGTCATGTAATTATGATAAGATCCAATCCTCGCCTTATCAGTCCACTCTCAATTAAGAGACGCTTACTTATGGAAAAATACTTGTATTAAGAATGGTTAGATTATTGTGCTGTCATTATTGTTACCAAACAAATTTTTTTTTTTTTTTTGCGTTCCTTCTAAGCAAAATTCTAATTTAGTCAAGATTTTATTATTCACTAGATATATCGAAATTTTTGCCTGTTATTGGAATTAAATCTTTTTTTTTTTTAACCTAACTTAGAATTTAGCTGAGCTTTTAATGCCTTCAACGATATATTTTTTTTTTTAATTAACACAGTTTGAAATATAAAAACTGTCAATAAAATTCTAAGAAATTACACGCTTTAGCTATTTAAATGCCTCTAGCTTGTACTAAATTTATAAGTAAATAGGCATTATTCGTCAACAGTTGAGCAATTGTAAATTTGCTCTTATCAATTATTAGAGGTGCTTCAAAATTGAACTATTAGCTGGAATAAATCTGAAATGTCGAGACTATTAGGTAATATTTGTCAATTCTTTCCATACCTTGACTTATGTTTTAAAAATTGTACTTCTCCGTTTTACTTTCTAGTCTTTTATCATTGTATTGTGTATATTATGAATAATTGCTCAAAATATAATTTTTTATTTTATTTTGCTTTGCTCATTTGTATTACAGACTTCACCCAGTGTAAATGTATTTTAAAAAAATAAAGTTTCAACTTGCTTTTTATTTAGCTTTTAGTGAAGCTTAATTTAATTCATGACAAATAATTATTAATTGATTGTTCGCTTGGCCGTTGTTCGAATGAGAGGAGTCATTTGAAATTATTGTTATAAACTCTTAGACAAAATTAGTTCTTAAACTTGAAATTTGTGAAAGGATTCAACATTTTCTACAGAAAGTATTGGCAAGTCTTGTCCTCCATTGTAGGATCTAACCTGAAAATGGCTTTTTTATTTTTTTGTTTGATATAATATAGACTCGGAAATTAAACAAGTAGCCCAAGGAATAGTTTGTAATATGTTAAAATATTAATATTACTCTAGTGTTAAACAATGATAGACCATTCAATAACTGATTACCTAAAGGAAATTAATCATTAGCTAATTTTGTCTATGAGTTAAGTGTTATGGAAAATAACATAATTGTATGTATATTACTTTTATTGTAAAAAAAAAATATATAAGATTTTCTATTTACCTAAGACTTAAAATTGGTCCCTTAATGAAAACCAATATAAAATGTACTTTGAGGATCAAAAGAATATTAATTAATGTCAACTGAACTGACTGTTTAATTTTGTTTTTTAGCATTTTGATTGCTATTAATAAACCTAACTTCTTTTCCCTCTTTTGGCAGGAATTTTATGATTAGCGTGATGTGCTAATTGAACATGGACATTGTGATTTGAATTTTAGTAGCGTATTTTTAGAGTAACAATTTTTTATTATTGGATAATGTGATTAAAATTTAGATTAAAAAAAAAAAAATATATATATATATATAAAATAAAAAATGTGTATACAAACATAGTTTGATGATCTGATTAAGGATAGCCATGTACAGTTTTATATTTTAGCCGATAACTTTTCTTTTTTTTTTAAATTTAAATATTTATATTAATGAAAATATGTCATTTGAAAAAAAAATAAAAAAATATGCTTCCATCTCTTCCTTAAATTTGTAATGTCTATATTCTAAATGCTTAATGAAAGTTTGTAGTAGATTGCTCATATTTCTTTTTATGTTTCTTGTAAACTAAAATTTTTTATTTATCACATTTTAATTACAAATACACATCAATATACTATAATTATTGAGAGTATGTATTAATTTCCCAATTCCTCACTTCGAAATTGAAATAAAGTTCACTTTGTATTATATTAACTCTAAACAATTGAGTGGTAGAAGGATTTTATTTCTGTCATATTTAATTGAAAATTAAAATAAATATGGATGTGTTGCAGACAATGGTTAATAAATGTCTGAATAATATTATCTATGAATTTCTGATAGTACCAAATTCTTAGAATAACATGAATTTATTCATGTCATAAGTACATAAATTAATCATAATATGCTCAAATGACTGGTTGTTTTCTCATCAATGATAGGAATTAAGGTAGATTCCTTTCACAGATC